TTCATTACGTTTAAATTGAGAATATTTACAGTTAACCAAAAGGACTTTGAGGTCAGTCAAGATTTACAAAAAACAAAACAAAACAAAAAAAAAAAAAAAAAACAGAACGACCTTACCTTCATGGCTGTGAGAACCTCAGGGTCGCTGAAGAGGTCTCCCATACCAGCCATGCCAGGGAAACCTCCAGCACCACCTGTAGGGGGCGCCATGACAATGTCAACTGTGCTGCTGTGATGTACTCTTACAATACCACGAGGCAGCACCAGATATCCTATCAATACTGTTAGCCACACTGCCCATCTCACCTGGGAATCCTGGGAAGCCTCCGCCGGCTCCGCTCGACTGCTGCCGGGCCTCTTCCTCCTATGAGCAGAGATGGGAGGCCGGGTCAATGGCTGTACTTACTGTTCTCATAAAATCGTAGCCTGTATACTGGCGAATAAGGTACATTTGCCGACCCCCCCAGTAACCAAATTCTACCAGATGATTACTCTCTCTCCCCTACCCTTTGGGCTCTCTCGTGCTCCTCCCTGGCTTTCTTCACCCTCTCCTTCTGCTGCTGGACTTCCCGCTCCTCCCTCTTCCGCTCGTACTTGCGGCGGTGCTCCGCGATTCTGTTGGCCTGTGAGGAAAACGAGCTCATGCAGCTGTGCTGTGCACCCACCCCTTAGACGAGGCCCATACCGGAAGCCTTGGGGCACCTTTGGCTGGACCTCCTTCAGCAAAGCGCTGGCTTCTTCATCGTAGTCCAACTTGCACGCCATCGCAAGGTCTTTTGCAGCCTCTTCCCAATGACCAAGCAGCCTTAGCAGGGGTGCAAAGGGGACGAGTCTGGATTTGCTCATAAGCATGTGTTTCACTGGTCTTTAACCTTATAAATGCAAACTTGCAAGGTATCAAATTATACAGAACTGTGCAAAGGTCTTGGGGAAAGTTTAAGGCTTTTTATCTGGTTAAGTTTATATTTGCTCAGAAAAAAAAATGGAGTTCAACATTATAATATATGGAAATAAAGAGTAACAATAAAAACTATGAAGAATTACTTCTGTTCTCCATGAAGTTACTGATATCTAGGTGGATGGCTAGATGAACGCCGCTTCAGTTCCCAAACCTCTCCTCAGGGGCACCTCAACCATTCCACGTGTTCGTTAAATGTCACCACCAGCTCAATGAACTCAATTAATTATCCGAACATGGTAATTAATTTAAAAATACATGTGTATGTTGGACAGCCGCTGCAAATACCGGGGTGACTTTAGGTGAGGTTTTGAAATGGCTAAGTCGACACACACCGACAGACGTAGATTAAAGATTATTTTCTTTGACTTTTGCACAGTACTGGATGGGCCTTTTTTTTGCCACCTAACAGCCCCAAAAAAGCAGAAGCAGGCCTGCAGACCTGTGCGCCTTCCCTCTCCACTTGTAAGGCTGAGCAGAGTCCGGGTTGATAGAGATGGCCCTGTTGCAGTCCCTCACCGCCGCGTTGGGCTTCTGCATCTGGATGTACACGCTAGGAGGAAACGCTGCAGCTGAGCAGACGGAACCCACTGCCAAACGCGCATGCCGACCCCCCCAGTACACGCATGCATAGAGGCACAGATGACAGTAAATGCCCCCTCTAGCCTCCCGCTCTCACCTGGCCCTCTTGGCATATAAAATGGCCAGTCGGGGGTTGAGCTTGATGGCTTCTGTGAAAAGGCCCAAGGCTTTATCCAGCTCACCTGAACAACAACAAGCACAGAGTAAGCAGAAAGGTAGCAGCCTATCACACCTCTTCATCTTCATAATACCTCCATCCATAATCAGACAAATACAAAAAAAGAGCCATATTAAAACATGAAGTCTAATTAGTTTTATTTAAATAGAATTATAATGGCATAATAACTTTATTTCAGTGGTTCTCAACCTTTTTTGCACCGTGACCCAATTCTTACCATGCCAGCTTAGCTGCGACCCTATATCACGTATATGTTTAAATTAGCACTCTGATCAAACACGCAGTGCACTCGCACAAATCTGATTGGATGTGCCAGTGAATTTTAAATTAAACATCTGTGGTTTGGCTTGGATTGGTTGAGTATTCAACTAGTTTTGCTCGAAGCAGTTGCAGACCCGACCTGTTTATACAGGTTAATTCTAGGATTGGGGCTGGGGAATCTGAACGTGGATCAGCATAGGAGCTTGCCGGTTTTAAAATTGTTTCCTTTCAAAACTTCCTGCAAACCTAATTTGGGTCGCAACCCAGGGGTTGAGAATCGCTGCTTTATAGCGACAAACAATTGCAAAACTATTCAAATTAACCTCAAAATTCATTTCCAAAGTAAGCAAACCGTATTTCTATGAACAGCCAACTTGAAAAACACAGTAGCCCTTGGACAGAATGGTATAGAGATTAAAGATAAGCCTCTCTAACCGTCTCCAAGGGCAGTAATGGCCTCCATTTTCTTTTCATTAGCTTGGTCCATCATTTCGTCAGTTACCTGGAAGCAGAAAGAGAGACTAACAGTGAACAGGTAGGAATAGGAACATCAGAAGCTGCTGCCGGTGGTCGACGGTGAGGAGACACGCCAAAGACACAGGAGATGCCCTCTCACCTCCACACTGTCGAGGTCCACCATCTCCTGGGGCTCGTCTGTGTCTGGCTCGATCACGCCATCCTTGTCAATCTCTAGCGAAACATATGGGGGGGAGGGGGGGGACGAGAATAACTCCCAGAACCTGAATCAAATTTATTTACCAAGAATTTTAGACGTCTACAGAATCTGCCGATGAGTTGGTTATGTTCAATGCCCAAAACTAAATACAGTACAGGGCACAATGGGTACAACACACCATGCAACACCGAGTGTGACGAATGAGGCATCTGATGGTATCGCCCTAACTTAGTACTCAGCCACAAAGCATCAGTTCCACATTTACGGTGATACACATTAAATTAAAGATGATGCAAAACCAGGTAAACTCATTTTCATTTTTTACTTCTAGTCTTAATCAATCATAGTTCCCACTAGGGTTGCAAAGGGGTGGGAAATTTCTGGAAACTTTCCATGGGAATTTTGGAATTATTGAAAAACTGCTCGAGCTATCAAACACAGCAAAGATAGCAAACTGTATGAATAATACAACAGAATATGACTTATAAGCAGTGCATTTAATGCAGATGCTTATTTTGGAGTGATTTTGTCTGGTGTACTCACAAGCATCCAGTTACGAACTGATATCACTATTAGTGCCGTCAAGATTTGTTTTTATGTTAAACTACATTTAAATTCCCTATTACAGGCTAAACCGGCAATTTTGCAAGTTTCCAACTTTGAAAATTCCCATAATTTTGCAGCACCAGCTCCCACTGGGATAAAGCCGTCACTGAGACAGACATACCCAGCTCGCTCTCCTCACTCTCAGACAGCGGCGGCTTGGGGGCTGCTGAACAAGGAGGGGGAGCGGAAGACGTTTCCTCCTTCTAAAGTCAGCGGACAACACAAGAACACAGCCACATACAAACTGGAAAACAACACCAAACTTATACACAATTCTGACAACTAAGTTTAACAAAAACATTGAACATGGGTAAATAGATACGAGGGTTTAAAATCCTTTGTACTTTAGAGGAGGCCGGAGGAGCCTCGTTCTTTGATGCTGCTGGAATCGTGGCTCCCAGGCTGGAAGTGACAAAAAAAGAAGAAAAGCCTTAAAAAAAAAATAAAAAATCATCACGGGTGCATCATAAAAACTTAGAACATTGTAAAAAAAAAAGTGCAATATATTCCATCAGTCATTTAAGTGAAATTTAATGTATGGATGTAAACTAAAACATTTCAAGCATTTTTCAATTTCAAAAATTGATAATCATGGCCTACAGCTCAAACAATCTAAACCAAACAATCTCAGAATATTAGAATCCCATTTTGAGTTTGACATTTTGGATTAAATTGTGAAAACAAACTTTTTTTTACGATATTCTAATTTCTTGAGAACCACTTGTACAACTTCCTCATCACGCAAAACGTGCAATTTAAGTGAAATGTGTTCCGTGTTTCATATTTGCCTTAAGAAATTCACAAGATGTACAGAAATTACTACGTTTTTTGATTGGGCGTGTCTAGGTTTTTGTCTTAAAAAAGTGACTTCTAGATTTTTCTGCGTTAAATCTGATAGAAGGGGCTTGCGGTGTGGTAATGTGATGTTGGCTGGCGTAAAGGAAGAGATGCTGATGTGGGCGGAGTATGATGTACGGACCTTTCCAGCCAGGACCGGAAAAAACCAAGCTCGGGTAGATGCAGAACAGAGGGGTTGCCGGTGCATAGCTGCACAAATGTCTTCAGCTCTGATATTTTCTGAGGATCCATTTCCAACTCGCAGGCCTAAAACAGCAACACCAAAAAGAGCGAATAAAGCCATTGCAGCGATTTTTTAATTGCAACATATACCATGGCATTCCGTAAATGCCACGGGTTAATTACAATTTTGGTTTAAAAAGTTTTCGAATAAAAGCAATCTCCAGTGAAAAACTATTTCTTACATGCTACACGACCTGTAGACCGTGTGCATAACGCAGAGAAACGCGAACGAAAACTAACTAGGCATCCAACTCCCTCCTTCGATTGCAAATCCAATGGAATTTTCTGGAATAAAGTGAAAGTAAAGGCCATGCTCTACTCCACTGAAAACATAAACTTTTTAATATATATATATATATATATATATATATATATATATTTTAACTACTTCAACACACAATGCATCAAACTCCCGATGCATACAACCAGACTTACTTTGCTTTTCAATGTCCTAGGATTTAAATGTTCGACAGGTACCAAGTTACCATGAACGATTGCTCACGCTGATTAGGCGATTTCACTCAGGCAATGAATTAGCCGACGAAATAATAAAGGTCCTAAAAGGTTTTGGGGACTGAAGTCGTAGACTATAGACGTAATACGGGGGCTCAACCAATCCACAGACTGGATTATTCTCCGCTTGACCGTCTTAAAGTGCCAGTGCCTTGTCAATTTAGTATGATCGGGGGAGTAAATTCGCTTAGTACGGGATACCGGTTGGCTGGCTAGTTTAATATTAAAAATCAGTTAATCTGTTCGCATTAACTTCTAAACACATGTCAAATAAAATGATACACATGGAGTGTTGTTCGGTATTCACCGTTTAGGTGGAGTTAACGTTACTTCGTTTTTTGGAAGTCGATGTTGAGTAACTATGACTATGTTGCACAAAATATTCGTCAACCTTGCGTCAGCCTACTCACGTTTGCATGGGAGAACAGGTCAGAGATGTGCTTTATTTTTTATTTCATATTATTTGAACCGTATACACCAACGTAACTGATCAGTAGTCTAGACGATACTTATTACCAATGATCAATGGAATTATCTATTACTGACAACATTGCCGGTTTTAATCTCAATGGGAAGTTTTCATATTTGCCTATATATCATATCTTAATGAGCGATTTTGCTTTTTTAAAAAATAGTCGGTTTATATAACTTGTTAAAGTTTGCAACAGCGTAACAGTAGATCGGAAAAATTCTGTACTCAGTGCCCAAACTGTTGAATGACGTCTCTTATACGGTATGTAGTAGGGCGCTGAGATGCAAAAGGATACAAAAAAACTTCATGTTGAGTGATTTCACTATCCCCTAGGCTGCGTCTGCTGCCCCTGCAGGAATGTTATAACCCAAATTGGAAGGTGGCTTCAAAAGGTACCACCACGGTATCTGGGTCAGCCTAGCCCCTATACACATCCACACATTCTTAAATATGGTGAGTAAAACACAGCCCTGTGTGCCATATATGAAGAATGAACTGAAAACTATAAAGTTCTATGGACAAGTTCTGCTGTCGGAAACAAAGAAAGTTCTAAGTACCCTGCCCATTCATTCTTTGTAACTGTGTGTTCAATCAGGGGTACATGTTCATCTGTGAAGTATTTTCAATGTATATCAAACACTTCTCCTTAGAGATTCCCTACTTTTTTGTGTCTGTCAGTCTGCCGGTCTGTCTGTGTGAACACCAACCCCCCATCGTTCTCTTTATACCACAGGTGTCAAATTCAAGGCCTGTGGGCTGAATTCAACCTGCTGTCTCATTTCATGCAACCTACGTTAACTTACATAAAATAATATTGTTGAAGGTTGTAATTCAGCCCATGAAATGATTTTTGAATATGGATTTGAAAAAAAAAAACACCAACAATTTTAAAAGTACAAAGCAATTAAATTCTTAGTTTTTTTTTTACTTTTTTTGGGTGGGTCACTAAAGGAATGTAAATATTCACTGCCACTATCTGACTCACCTTGATGAAAACTGTGGTTTGGAACTATATTAATTGCTGGTGGGATTGTAGGGAGACCAGTATGTTTTATATTACAGTAGGGAGGTTAGGATGGGGTGGTGTAGTGGTTAGCACTGTCGCCTCACACCTCTGGGACCAGGGTTCGAGTCTGGCCATGGGTGTGCCCTGTGATCCTGGGTTACCTCCCACCTTTTACCCATAGGCTTCAGACCCCCACAACTCTGAGCTGGACAAACAGTTTCAGAAAATGGATGGATGGGGAGTCCATGGATGCAGCTATGAAAGTTAGACCCTGAAAACCATAAGCTGAACCATAAGGCATACATGCTCAAAGCCACAGGAATCATGTTCATCTTTTCATGGATGAGGGAAATCCTGCTTCCTGCAGCTAAAAAACATTTATGGGTCCCCCCTCACCCCCGAAAGTGAAGCCCGTTCAGGGCTGGTAATTTCTCTGTCATCATTAAATGTGAAATGTGTTGCTGATTTGTTAGTAGCCTGTTCCATGTGGATTGGCCGGCTTGCCTCACCATGATGAGCTTGATGTGCCTGCTTGGGGTCCTGTTTCTCATGGCCGTCCTCTGTCCTCCTCTCCCAGGTGAGGTGACCCCAGGTCTGACGCAGACGGAGTTTGAGCTCCGTCGACAGAAGCTTTCCGCCCTCATCGCGGCGCAGGCTGAGAGGACACAGGGGGGTCTGTTCGGTTCCCATGGAAACGGCTCTGCCTCCTTCCACGTTGCCGTGGTGCTCTCTCACCCTATTCGCTACATGACCAACGACATCCCCTACCCCTTCCACCAGAACCAGGACTTCTTCTACCTCACGGGCATCCTGGAGCCCGATAGCGCCCTGGTCCTGTGCTGCCCGCCCCGCCCGGAGGGGGCCATCCTGTTCGTGCCCAGAAGAGACCCAGCACGGGAGCTGTGGGACGGGCCCAGATCAGGAATAGACGGGGCGTCTGCACTGACGGGCATTCAGCAAGTCCACAGCACCGAGGAGCTGGGCCTGGTGCTGAAGAGCTTTAAAGGTACAGTAGCGCATCTGAAAGTCCCACGTGATCTGCATCAGCTGCTGTGGCGCGGTGGGCCCAGTGGTTAGCGCTGTGGCTTCACAACCCTGGGGTTGCAGGTTCGATTCACCTGGACAGTAGCAGGAAACCAAGTTACATTTAAGCACAGATGCTCCCCAGGTCGCTTTTAGTACATTATTCAGTACATTACTGAGATATTCAACACTTTATTATAAAATAGGCTTTGTTTTAATGATTTTGCCCCACTGTAGGCTAATGTATGTGTTCTAAGGCTAGGCTATGATGTTTGTTAGGTTCGGTCTACTGTATTGCAATGTATTTTCGCTTTACGACATTTTCACCTTACGATAGGTTTATCGGAATGTAACCCCATTGTAACCCGGGGGGGCGTCTGTATATGAAGAGAAATCAAAGACTGAAATGTGAATTTTGTATGCGCTTCAGATGGGGAGAGAATGTCACAGGGTCACCATGTCTTTCCGTCCTGCCTTTACTCCCCTCTCTCTCTCCACCCCTCCCTCAGGCAGCACGCTGTGGTACGATGCATCCCAGCCCTGCCACCCTGAGCTCCACCACAGCCACGTCGGCCCCCTGCTGGAGGGGGGCACCCCAGTGCAGCCCCTCAGACCCCTCCTGCACTCCCTGCGTGCGGTGAAGAGCCCCTCGGAGGTGGCTCTGATGAAGGAAGCGGGCCACATCACAGCACAGGTGCTACAGGAGAGTGGGGGCGCGACCCTGACAATTCAGGAAGTGTGGGTCCTTACTGCTGCCCCCCCCCCGCAACCCTCCGTGCCAAGAGTCAGACTCCTGCGTTCTTCTGTCTTTCCGGGAACCGCTGTTATGCTCCCCAGCGTAGGATCCGTCGCAAGTTTGGCGTTTGGAAACGCGGGAAAGTTAAACGAGACTCTGCTAGTTCAGTGTTTGATGATCCCGATATTATTGCTGGTTGTCATTTGCCCAGAATATGTAATAACAGGGGGTGGTATGAATGGTTGCCTCACAACTCTGGGACCAGGGTTCGAAACTCCACCATGGCTCCATGTGTGTGGAGTTTGCATGTTCTCCTCGTGTCGTTGTGGGGACTCCTCCGGGTATACGGTTTCCCCCCCACAGTCCAAAAACATGCTGAGGCTAATTGGAGTTGCCAAATTGCCCATAGGTGTGTGTGTGTATGGTGTGTGAGTGTGCCCTGCGATGGGTTGGCGCCCCACCCTGGGTGATTCCCTGCTTTGAGCCTGTAGCCTCCAGGATAGACTCCGGACCCCCCAACCCTGACTAGGACTAGCGGATACAGGAAAATAATGGATTTATGTATGGAATAGGTACAGGCAGGTACCAGTTGAAAATTGTCCCTGGTTATATGAGTCAGAATGTTTTATTTTGATACCAAAAAAAATTCAAGTGATTATCTTTATTACTTCCATAGGGAATCTTTTGGAAAACTTTGTTTTTCACGCTTTATGTTGGTGCCTAGCTCAGTGGGGCTTTTTGTAGGCAATTATGAGAAAATTGAGGGTAAATTTGGCCAGTATTTTTGGTCAAATCTTTGAAAAATCATCGAATTTCAATGGCTAATTTCAGTGCAATTTCTGAAAGAGTAACAATGCACTCTTTGGTAAAAAGAGTAAGAAATATCCTTTGTGACATTTCTGGACAGAGAAATGATAAGTTGATCCTGAAGCGTTTTCTCCCCGTTTTTACACTTTTCTCCAGTCAGTTTCTTACATACTGGTACCTAGCAATTACCTTATGGCAGAACACAATGTTATACTCTAATGCAATATCCACTCATCTTGTTAATGTGTTGTGAGCGAAGCTTGATGAAGAGAAGGCAGAATTTATGGGATCTGTTGCATAACTGGCAGTGATTGTCACTGTATGACTTTTTGCCAAAAGCTTGTTGGTTGAAAAGGAACTTTTAATATCAAGTGAACCCCAATCTGTTCTTCATAATGGAGAAGAGACTTATTTTAGGAGCTCGGCATCTGGTAGCTGAGAAATTAACTGTGAGGTAAATGAATCTGTATGCTTTGACATAATAGTACAAATGAATATGTAACAGCATTTTAATTTCCCTACATCTCGCTAAATTTGTTCGATGCGATATACAGCAATACCTGGTGACCCTGACCGGGATTATCGGTTAGAAAATGGATGGAAATTACAGCAATAATTATGTGAGGACACAGTTTTGAGTTCGACCTCCTGCGCTGTGATTATTTGTATGTCTGGTGTAAAGCGGTGCCCCATAGTGGTATTGTTAGTGCTCTCTGACGCCCCCTGCATGTTATGTCCTGTCTACACTCCAGGCGTTTAAGAAGACCATGGCGATGTCCCACGGAAAGGTGAATGAAGCTCTCCTCTATGCTAAGGTGAGATTGTTAACTCCCTCTTACTCACTACTCATATATTACATCCATTTTTTGTTTGGCAGCTGATTTACTTTCCTGACTGAATCCTGAGTCGTAAGGACCATAGATTTAGATCCTGGATTTTAGAGCCTCTTATAAACTCCATTGTCTTACTAGATTACGGAGCATGGTTTATAAGTAGGGGGTGTGGGGGCTGGGTGGGGAACACCGTCACCTCACACCTCCAGGATTGGGGCTTCAGCCGCTGGCCTCCCATGTGTGGAGTTCACATGCCCTCCCTGAGTTTGTGGGTTTCCTCTGGCTACCCTGATTTACTAACACACACCAAATTGCCAGTAGTCTGTGAGTTTGCACCTTGTGCTTGAGTCTGTGAGTTTGCACCTTGTGCTTGAGTCTGTGAGTTTGCACCTTGTGCTNAGTCTGTGAGTTTGCACCTTGTGCTTGAGTCTGTGAGTTTGCACCTTGTGCTTGAGTCTGTGAGTTTGCACCTTGTGCTCGGCTGGCATCCTGTCCTGCTTGTACCCGGCGTTTCCTGGGACTGGACACAGGGTTATGGGGGATGGGTGTTGGGACTGGTAGATCCCCGATGCTGCAATGGGAGCCCCGTAAACTGTATCCATGGCGACGGGCCGATAAAGTAACAATGTTCATGACTTCGGTTTGATGACCGAGTGTGATCATGGTGAAATGTATTTTCTGGCGTGGTTAATTCAGCATACTTTATTTTACTTGTATGCCGTGCCTTTCTCAGTGCACTTGCCCCGAAGCACTAATGCCGATTCAAAGAAGCACATCACTTTCTGACATACCACAGTTATGGTAACAATAATGTAAAAGAATAGTAAATAAAACCCAGGAAAAATATTGGAGGAGTGCAAACAAAACTGCATAATTTGATATTGGGTGGGAAAAAAAAACTCTGGGAATCCAAGGTTAAGCGATTGCAGAGCAGTCAAGGTTAAGCGATTGCAGAGCAGTCAAGGTTAAGCGATCGCAGAGCAGTCAAGGTTAAGCGATCGCAGAGCAGTCAGAGTAGCTCGGCCTGCAGGCTGCTGCATCCATGGCAGACCCGTCATTGTTCTCCATGGGCACAAGGCATCAAGCCAAGTGAGGAGAGAGACACAGGCCTCGCTCCAGATGCTGATAGGTGACCAACAGAAGCAGAGACAGACAGTACAGTGGCATGTGCAGCTGCACCAGAAGCCCCATGTATGTAGGGCTGAGGTAAAGCGACAGCTCTTCAGTCAGATGTCCTGCAGTCATTCCCTCCATCTAGATACAGCTTTTGCTGCTGCGTTTTAAATCTGCTACAGGAGTCCAGCCTCTTTGATCACAATTAAAAGAATCTTGGTTGCTAATATTACAAGTAAATAAGATTCAAGGCTTTGGGGGGAAAAATGGTTGTGTGCATCATAAAAATATAGTCAGCTAATTGCTGAAGACAGATTTTGACCGTGATCCGCATTGTTGCTCATTCCTGGCCCTCGGTGTTTTGCTGGGATCAGTGTTGCAGGAAGACCTGCCATCTCACTGCATTTGTTTGTTTTTTTTTACTTTTTTATTTATTTCACACATAGAAAATCCAACATGACAATATACATTGAGTTGCCCCCACCCACTGGTCCTCCCCAGTCATCAGACTCACCAACTTTCCTAATGTTATATCTTCCCTTGGTAGGTTGTAACCATATTAATAGATCACATTATTTAACTCAATGGTCCAAAGTAGCATTAGTACCCTTACTTATCCAAATCAGGTTCTTATAATTATAGAGAGAGCTTATGAACAACCAACCGCTCATATTACAGTACCATGGGCACAACAACAAACACAAAACAAACAAACAAACAGATAAACTAAAAGAGGTGTTTAGGGCTCATTAATCAATTGTTTTATTGGATTCCATCTATGCTTAAAATTTTCCAGTTTCAGTTGCAGTCTTGCTGTAGTTTTTTCCATAATATAGACCTTTTTAACTCTGTCTCCCCATTTCATGATGTTGGGGGGGTTGTGGCTTTAGCCAAGAGGCTGTGATTGCTTTTCTTGCTATCAAGAGCAAAACTCTGAGCAAATATTTAATGTCCTTATTTATGTGATCATCAGGCAATATCCCCAATATGTACAGGTTTAGATCCAGGTTTAGCTCAATACCTAATACTCTCTTTATATCTTTTTGCACATATTTCCAAAACTCTTCAGGCAGTCCCAAAATATGTGAGTGAAATCCCCCACTGCCCGCACTTCCTCCAACATAAATTAGATGACTTGTTATATTTTGAGATGATTGATGGAGTATTAGGGTAACGCATTTTCACCTTCCAATCAGACTCTCTCCAAGTTGGGCTATTGGTTAATTTATGTCCTGACCTGAATGTTTCCTCCCAGTCACCATCAGTTATGGTAACATTTGCTTCCAGCTCCCATTTTTCTGTAACCTCTATATTATTAGTACTTGTTTCATATTGTAGTGCCTTAAATATTTTTGAAATTATTGCCTTTTTTGTTTCGCCCTTTGTAAATGATATGAACAATTCTTCGACTTTGGTCGGTTCCTTGAATATTATTTCCTTCTCGTTATGGTTCTGGAGATAGTGCCTTAATTGCAGGTATTTATAAAAATCATTAGTTGGCAAGTTAGATTCCTGTTTAAGTTGTTCAAATGATTTCATAGTGGAGCCCTTAAACATTTGTGCTAGAAATATTAACCCTTTATTTGCCCATCTCTCAAAGCCTATGTCTATAGTACAAGGAATAAAGTCTAAATTTTTAGCAATTTTCGGAGCTTCGTTCCCCGAACTTGATATGTTTAATTTATTTTGTATTGTTGACCCATGTCTTCATTGTCTCTTTAATCCAATCATTTTGAAGCTTAAGCTTTCCTTGTACTGTTTTTGTCAAGAAGGGCAGTGTTTGTAAGGGTACCGTACATTTGGGCAGGACCTTTGCTCCATTTCCGCCCAGATCGTATCCTTCTCTTTAGTAATCCACACTATAAGAGCTCTAAGTTGAGCTGCCCAACAATGATTCCTTAGATCTGGCAAGTTTACGCCACCTTTATTTTTGGTGGGAGCTAATTAATGAGCTAATTATAAAAAATTTAAGTCTGATTTCAATTTCAATTGTCTAAACGAGTGTTTGATATTTAATTCTTGCTTTTTTTTGTTTTGCCACAAAAACGTTGGTATACTTCCATCTAGCATTTTGAAAGTGGAGCTGGGAACCCTAAGCGGAAGTGACTGGAATAGGAACAGCAGTCTTTGTAGTACATTCATTCTGATTCTTTCTATCCTCCCAATAAGAGTCAAGGGTAGAATCTCCCATCTATTTAGGTCCCTCTTAATTTCATCTATCAACTTTTCATAGTTTGCACCAAATAGCTGTGAGATATAATAGTAATAGTAACACCCAAGTATCTAAACCCTTTGTCTGTCCATTTAAAGTCTGTTTTTTCTTTCGACTCTGCTGGGCACTTCCCTGAAATCATCAAGGCCACTGATTTATTTTCGTTAGTCAGATACCCTGAGATTCCTCCATATTCGTTAAGATTATCCATCAGAGCTGATACTGGTTGGGATGGTTTACTCATGATTACTAACAGATCATCTGCAAATAATGATATTTTATGTTCTATTCTCACTGCATTTGTATTTATCACTTTGTATACTTGTGCCACTTAAGCTGCCCGTAATGCAGTGCTTGCCTCTTCTAACTGTACCTCCGACTGTGACCTTTATCCCAAGCCTCTTCTGTGAGGTAGGTATCCCTAGTCTGACATTCTTCTTTTGTTCCCTCCTTTGTTGGATGTAGTGTCACGACCCCCCTGCTTTGCATTTCACTGTACACTTGTGTAAGGCGAAGTGACAAGAGAATCAAACCAGAGAGGGAGATTAAAGACGCCGGAATCGCATCCCAGCCCCGTCGTGCTGATGTCGCCCTGCTCTCTCTCTCCCTCTCCCTCTCTCTCTCTCTCTCTCTCAGTTTGACTTTGAGTGCCGTGCTCACGGCGCCAACTTCCTGGCCTACCCCCCCGTGGTGGCGGGAGGCAGCCGAGCCAATACGCTGCATTACATCAACAACAACCAAATTGTCAAGGTGAGATACAGGTACAAGCCACAGCACAGTGCCTGAATCGAGATTCATGCTACATTATCAATACTTGGTAGCAAGACCTTATTAACTTGTCAGGCAGCTTATAAATTATATGATAAATTAGGGTTTTTTTATCTTTTATTTTCCATTTGCATTGGTCTGCTTCTTTTCACATTCCCCGCCTCGCTCTACTTTGAGACACCAATATTTATGCAGTTAAGAGCAAAGCTTAGGGTCTGACCACAGGCTCAGATCATTGTTCCGGTTAGGGGCTTTGCTCCAGGGCCCAAACAGTGATGTCGCTCTTCTGCTGAGGCTCAAACTGGTGACCTTCTGATCACAGGCACAAAGCTGTAACCTGTTGAGCCCTAAACTCCCCCCCCCCCCCCCCTTATGGACCATTACATTTACAGGACATCATGGGGTCCACTTTGCCCTGAAATGAAATGGATGGTCACTACTGATTTCTATTAGTGGTACCAGGGCCCATTGTTTCTGAACTACAATAATTAGGCACATATAAGATATGCTCCACATTGCCGCCATCGCATGGTTAAAATGCCTTTTTTCTGGCTTCCTCTCTTTGTCCCAAGGACGGTGACATGGTTCTCCTGGATGGAGGCTGTGAATATTTCGGATATGTCAGCGATGTCACTCGCACCTGGCCAGTGAACGGGAGGTAAGTTCTCCGCTGTAAGCCTTGCTGAGCTTCCCCTCTAGTTTGGGACATGGAAGCACCTGCATTAATATTTACCCCAGTGGTCAGTCACAGCGCCCCCTACCTGTATCAGCCTGTTAGGCTGCAGTTTATCCATGTAACTCCTTTGGCATCGCGAGCTGTGACTGATGTCAACACCGCCTATTGGGATCTTTTTTATAACTATAAAACGCATTTTGTCACATATTCCAAAAATCAAGTCTTTTTGTTTTTTAATAGCTTCGTGTGTTGGGTTTTCAAAGTACGTAAGCACAATTTAGAAAATAATTGCACTTTTAAATTACACGACCAGTCAGTTTTGCACCACAGGTTTTTTACCATTTTTCCATTTATCATAAACTGCAGATTGTTTATTCTTGTTAAGTATTGAAAAGTTGGGTGAACAACTATACATGAAAATAAAAGTCAAATAAAACAAGTTTCCTTTATAACATGGAAAGAGTATGTAACTGGTTGTGTGGTGATGGCATAGTCAAATTCTAGGCTGTCCTTTAACTTTAAATGCACAACTTAACAGTTTCCTCCCATGAATCAGAGCAGTATTTAATGTCCCTTGTAGAAAGAATGCCTCAGATTTCCTCTGCTGTTATTACTGCTAGACGAGGTTACTTTCATGAATCATTTTCTTGCTAATATAGGTACTCAGATGGCGAACATACTGTAATTTTTTTGTTAACAAAGAATATTGCGTGTATTTCTAGTAAATGTTAAGTGAGTAACATGCAAATGTAGAGAATGTCAGTGTGTCCAGAAACTTTTGACCGGTAGTGAATATGAACAGAAGCAGTTTAACCAACTCTCTCAGAGATCTAATGGCTGGCTTTCTTCCTTGCTGTGCTGGAACCTTTTGTGTAAAAGTCCACGTTCAAATCCCATAAGCTCTTTCTCCCCTTGTACTGTACACATGTGATTCTCATTCTCATCAGCAGTCACCGCAACGGCGCTTCTCGCTCAGGTTTGCCGTTTCACGAGCCCCGTCCTCGCCCCCCCCAGATTCTCCGCCCCTCAGGCCGAGCTGTACGACGCCGTCCTGGAGGTCCAGCTGGCCTGCCTGTCCCTTTGCCGCCCGGGGACGAGTCTGGACCACATCTACAGCACCATGCTGGCTCTCCTGGGACGTAAACTGCGCGAGCTGGGCATCGTGGGTCGCTCTGCCAGCGACGCCAACTCGCTCAAGGCACGGTCGTCGTCGTCCTTATAGTGTCATCGTTGATGACAGTTTGTTTGTAGAAAGCTTTGATCAGGCTACACAGCAGCCTTGACAGGTACGGCCGTTACGTCTGTGCAGTAAGGGAGCATGGGAAAGCCTCGAGGACGCACATGAAGTCAGGAAGCAAACCTGGACTTTATTATTGACGTTTTTCTGCTTTTTTGGGGTGACAGGAGATGGGGGGGGAACTAACAAAAGAGCCTGCAGGCCAAGCTTTGGGGATTGACACACATCCCTTAGGTCTGGACTCACAGAACTGAAGGATTCTAGTAGTTTAACCCAGAGCTGAAGGACAGAAAAGCCCCTGATTTCATCAAAGGAGAGGAACAGAAAGACGAACATGGGGTCTGTATAGAAGGATACTGAGGCTAGAGGCAGTACAGGAGTTTATAAGACTGGAGAGAGAGCGACACGAGTGAGAACTTAACACAGCAGTGTTCAGGATCCATGCAGCCACGTCACTGAAAGGCTTCAGTTTGTTTGACGAGGACAGTTATTAACTAAAAGGATACTGAGGTGGTAACAAGAGAAAACACTCAGATAATGGGGTATGAGTGGGGAATTCTGAACCTACACGGCCGTTACATCTTAGGGAAGATGAACGATCAAAATGAGCCCCCCTAGACCCCCACACTACACTCACACCAACATGTCATACTGTAGCTCTTAAGGGAAATCTGAAGCTGAGTGAAACCTGGAACAGAAGAACGTTCTATTCAGTGTTTGGGTTTTTGCTATTAAGCTTTCTGACCACTATCTGGAAGAACAACGAATACGCTGACCAGTTTACAAAAGGTCTTAGATCTTCTACATGTAGCCTTATCCGTTAGTATGTCTGTTACAACCAGATACTGGTGATTGTTTTTAACCCACTGACCTTATTTAAAACATTACAAGACATCTACTGTTACTACAATCAAAACGCATGCTTCAATGGTCATTTACTGTGGCATACATGCACAAAAGACCAGAACTGGGTACAACCCCTTTTTGTGTATCTGTGGGTATGTGATTGAGCATTACTTTATCCAGAACTTTTTGTCTCTTAACAAAAGTTCTTGTTTACTGTTTATCTGTAGATTTTAAAAAACCACTAAATTTGTGCAAAACCTCTATAAATTGTACAAGTTCATTTAAATCATATGTTTCCGTTTGTGCTGTTTACCTTAACGGCTCTGCGTCATGCTTTGTTATGCTGCAAAGTCATTTTATAAAGCAGTGTTTCCCAACCCGGTCCTAAGGGACCCACAGCCGGTCCACGTTTTTGCTCCCTCCCAGCTCCATGCTGGACAGTCCACATTTTGAGAGCTGGGAGGGAGCAAAAACGTGGACCGGCTGTGGGTCCCCTAGGACCGGGTTGGGAAACAGTGTTATAAAGTAATCAGAAACGAGTATTAATTTGTCTTGGAATAAAAAAGTGGATAAATAAATGCAAAAAGAAAAGAGCAATAAAATGTTTGGGGGAATTAGAGGTTCTGCTCAGAAAGAGGTAGCAGGCTGTCGGAATGAAAGGCCAGTCCAAAGGGTTTAACGTCGTTATCGTTCATGCTTACTTGGACATTAATCTCTGTGAAGTGGTGTGTAGCATGGTTTGTTTGGCTTGCAGGACTATCCTAAACAATTGTGTTTGAAACTGATCAAACTTATGAGATACATTCCGTTTCTCCTTGTCAATTCCTGTCACCCCCCCCCCAGGCTGCACGTCGGTACTGTCCGCACCACGTGGGCCACTACCTGGGCATGGATGTGCACGACACGCCGACGCTTTCGCGCGCCCAGCCGCTGCAGCCGGGCATGTGCATCACTATCGAGCCAGGTGAGAGGTGCAGGCCTGCGCAGACTGGTCAGGTGACGGTGATTGAGGGAGCAGGTGATGCACATGTACAGAAAGGATGATCGCTGTTGAGGAGCACTGCTAGCTTGTGGGAGTTTTAATCACACAAAAATGTTTTGAGGGCAGAACGAAAACTGATTGGTTTGGAGAGATAACCAATCAGATTGTAGAGGACGTGGGTCCAAGCAACTAGAAGAGTTTGGACATCTGATTGGTTGGTCCTGCCAGCTCTAGTTGCTTGGACTCACCTCCTCTACAATCTGATTGGTTATCTCTCTGGACCAATAATTTTTCGTTCTGCCCTTAGAACATTTTTGTGTAAGTAGAACTCCCATGAGAGCACTGCGCGGGCTGACACAGAAACACGAGTCAGAATCCTTTCCTTTGCCAAGTACAAGGAATTTGTTTGGGTGCAGGTGGCGGCATGAACTGTACAACTAAACGTACAATCAAGACAAAAAGTGCAAAAAATAATAAATAGAATAAAAGTAAAGTAGAGGTATGAATAGAAATGAAGATGTACAAATAATAAATAAACACGTAGACATATAACTAACAATAGATGCTGGGTACAAATAGCTTTGGACTATGTGCAAAATATGGAATAGTGCAAGACCAGTTAATTTTTTTAAAAAAAAGCATTTTTCAGTGGTGTGACTGAAGAACAGTCTACAGGGTTCTTCCAGCCTTACGTCTCTCATAACCGCTTATCCAGATCCTAGCCAGCCGAAGCCTGCCGCAGACATACAGGGCTTACAGACGCTCCCAAGATCACACACTACAGGCACGGGGGAGACCACTATCCAGCTGACCCCATTTGGGTTCACTGTGGGAATTTCCACATAGACATACATAAAACTGCACGTATGCCAAGTTCTTCCGGGACTCAAACCTACAGTCAGTCCGTCCGTCCGTCCAGTGTATAATGTAGGATTATACAAACTCATTAAAAGATGTCCTGAGTACATGCCATGTTTTGTAATCGCTGTTGTATTATATAACATTATAGTGTAACTGAGTGTTTTTGGGCGTCACTTCCTCGGCAGGGCTGTACATCCCTGAAGATGACAAGGTGTCCCCAGCAAGATTCAGGGGCATGGGTGTTCGGATCGAAGATGACGTAGTCATCCAGGAAGACGGTGGACCCTTGGTCTTGTCTGCTGACACTCCCAAGACGATAGCTGACATTGAGAAAGAGTGTGCAAAGAAAATCACTTGAGAAGGAAGGGATACTACTATTGTATAGTTTTTAAAGCTTATGTAGGAAGACTGAGACCTCCCAAAATCGTCCCTATGTTTGTGCATGGTGGAGAAATAGAGACTATGTTTTACTATTACTGCATAAACACTCATTGCAATACACGTGATACATGCACCCTAGAACACAACCTTGAATTTTTTAAAGTTTTGCTTATAAGAATTTTTAATATTTGCTATTATTTCCAGAAAAAAAAATCCAACTCTTGCGGAAAATAATTGTGTCAGGATTATTACTGTTGCCAACTGATTTATAGAAGAAATCTAAATTTGCCTTATTGGTTACTGACTTTATAAATTGATTAGTTCCTAAGGTTGTTTTCAGCTGGCGGCTTGGAGTATCTAACCACACAGAAGTGCAAGCAGAAACTGAACTTCTCAATATTTTGAATTTAGTAAGGGAATGCTTGAGTTTAACTCGACTGCCCCTTTGATGAGCACGTGGTTACTGCCGATCCATGAATCCATGAGGTAGGAACCACATCGGCAGCACGCCAAGCATCAACCTCCCCTTCACAGACTTCTACTCTACCTCCAACCCTCCCACTAACCCGCTGGAGAATTAGAAACAACGAGCGGCCATTTTGTTTACACTAACAGACGGAGGCAGGGAGGGAGTATTGCGGCTGCTGTCCCCGATGCTGCCTCGGACCGACACAAACAAGCGGATGGAGTTGAAGCGATTAGTGGGTGGCGAAAACCCCAAGGGAGTGATGCTATTATAGGATATATTGGAGAGGCAAAATTAGCCAGTACGTTTTATCAAGTGCTAGCCAGACTTAATGCATAGAATTAACAAAAAAGGGAAAACATCATATATGCAATCAATCCGATAAATGTAAAAGAAAATATGCATTATTATCATTAAATCGAATACCAAAGGGATGAATTCCAGAAGGCGTCTGTGACAACAATAGGACCCGAAGGAGTAGGAATATTTGAGGGTTTGGATCCCATCTGTATTTTTGGGAGTGAGTCTTCTCACTTCGAATTACTCATAATACTTGTAACTTGAGGAACCCGGTGCAGTTTCCAATTTTAGCACAGAGGCATCCATGTATTTGCTTGATCACATACTTCCATTAGATTGCTTACTCGGCTTTAAAGTAGTATCTGATTGCTGTCAATAGTATCTAGTGAAAATTCTGTTCAATAGGCTATATACAATTGGTAGGAATTAAATGCGCATTACACATGCTTCCCCGTTATGCATTGTGACCAGAGAAAAATCTAACCATTTTGTGGCGAGATTATCTTCGATAAAAATTAAGTCACTGGGTAAATAAAAGGTTTATGGTGTTTTTTAGGAATCTTGGTAAAACGTGCGAGTTTACGGATGTTTTAAACCCCTTCACATTGTGCAATATATTAAACATCAAGATCGAAACTTTTGTGAACGAGATGCATTTAAACTGATAATTATGTAAGCTTTTATGGTGGATTGCCAAGGTGATGAAGCTGTGGTGGTTTAAATGCATGTCTAATTTATGAGCTGGTTTAACATGAGACTTAACGGTAAAGTGCTTCAATGTACTCTGAGATATCAGTGTATCAGTGGCCCTTATCTCTCGAGTGCTGCCTCCGAATATGAGCAGCATCTTAACTGCAGTTACAGCTTTACTAAGATAACTGTTTACTGGTGTGAATAAAGTTATTAAAACAGCGGGGAATTATTTTTAACAATCCTCTGCACTTAAAAGACTTCTGACTTAGAATAAATTAACTCGTTGCGAATACTTTATTATATAAAATCTGGAAAAGCGGTACACATTATAAGTATTTTTTAAAACAATTCTTCATCAATATCGATGTATTGTATCTTTACAGATAGGCCCATACAACATTTTTCTTTATATGTAAATGTGTTTTTGAGCATTTTAAAGGCACGGAAGGTTGCCTGTAAAACTACGATAATTTATACCGCTTGTAAACAAATAAACGTTTATAAATGATATCTTCCAAAATCTTGATTCAATTTAGCGCATCAAAATGACAGCTCATCAGAAATCAGAAGCTGTAACTATTTCATTCGCAGCTCTAAAACATCATGCGAGAAGGTCCTTGAAAAGTTTCGAGTGCCGGCGCGTCTTCCCGGCGGCCGCGATCCTCCAGTCCGGGGTCTTTTCGATTACAGTTCCGCCGCCCGACAATGGCGGAAAACACGGATACTATAATGGAGGGCAGGTCTCGGGACAATTTCTCCGTCTCCGAAGAGGCTCGGCGAGTTGGTTAAAGGCCTGCACGCTTGTCTCTCTCTTCTCTTACCGACTCCCCCTATCCATCCCTCCCTCCCTCTTTCCTCCTCCTCCGCTCGCAGAAATCTATAAAGAACAAAAAATCCGCCGGGGGAGGGGGTTTATGCGCTGGAGTCGGAGAGCAGAGGCTAACCCAGGAAAGACGAGCGCTTCGCACACGGGACTTTCCCCCCCTTAGTCCCCAAAAAGGAGGGGGGAAAGTAAAACAATCAAAGAAGGGAAAGGCGAATGAAGACCGAGAAAGAAGGGAATTCGCCTGTCTTTTTCTGGATATATATATTTATATAATTCGCGAAAAATATGGCCGAGAACGTTCTGGACTCCGGCCCGCCTTCAGCCAAGAGGCCTAAACTATCCTCTCCGGCACTTTCGGTCTCTGCCAGCGATGGAAATGGTAAATATACGCATTTTAATTATTCACGTCGCCGGAGTCTTTTTTGAGATAAACGCGTTTATCACGTCGGCGTTTCGGCCGTATTTTGGGTTTTTTTTCTCCTCCTCCTCGGCGGCGGCGGCGAGGCGAGCGCGTCAGGGAGTCCGCCGCCGCCGCCGCTTCCCCGTGTCGGCTCCGGCTTATCCGGGCGCCCCGCACTTCGCCGTTGACCGCTTGTTTTTCCCCCCCGGTCTTTATAAAGTCTTGGTCTTTTCGAAGTGCGCCTCGATTTTCTTGTTCAGAATTGTACGTTTTTAAGCAATTTAAAGGCCCAACAGCCTAAATTGTGTTCGCGACAACTTTTTTTTTTTTAAGCGTGTAGGTGTCGGGATGTCTCATACGCAGGGTTACGGCTTGTTAGCGGGCTGGTGCCTTTCCTTTTTATTTGTTGTTTTTGATCGGTTTGTCCAACAAAGTTAAACCCCAGCCAGCCGGAGCCCTTTCCCCCGGCCCAGTTTGCTCGGCTGGCCCGCAGAGCGAGGGGACCGATCTGGTCTGGGAGACGGTGGCATTACGGCTATCGCCAGCTAACATGCAGGGGCTCCGTGCAATCAGAGCATAAAGGGGGAGGGGGATTCTGAGTAAATGCCACCAACAAAGCTTTTTTATATCGGTATTTGTAAACCGCAGCCTGCTAGTTCCAGCGCATTTCTCCCCACACGCGTAGCGAGAGATCGGTGTTGGTCGGCCTGTTAATGCGGGAGAGCTGTGGCCGGACTGGGTGCCTGGCTGCGGCTGAGGATCGGCTGGTCCGCACGGCCGGGTCGCCGTCCCGATGTGCAGGCCTGTGATGGGAGAGCGTGTGTGGGGAGGCGGTTCCTGTTCTGTCCGATGCATATACTGGCAGTCAGTGTGTGTGAGTTGGGGAGAGTTTATACCGCAGACGGATGGAGGTTCAGGATGGAGTGCCGCTGTGATCTCATTGATCTTGGGATTGTGTCCACACTCGCTTAGCTGTGTGTGTGTAGGGAGTCTGACCACTAGCCCAGTGTCTCAGACATTTCTCTTACATTTTATTCACTCCCTATTGTTCATCCTCGGTTGGTTGCAAGGTCGTTGGAGAAACGAGAAAACTTCAGTGTATTCGAATGTTTTTCTGTCACCGAATATATGGCGAAATATTACTATTAAGATTTGGGCGTGAAGACTTTCGTAACTTGGACTAAACAAGAAAAGGTGTGACTGGTGGAATATTTTCAGTTAATTTCTGGTACATTAATGTCGACTTTAACGTACTTCTCTCAGTTGATTTTGTGTGTTTGTATGACTTGATCAGTATAACAATTCAGTTTCAGTTTCCTGAATTTCACAGGAGGAAAATACATAACATAAAATCCATTAAATCTCCACGTCAAAATAAGTAACATTAAATGTATGGACTGTATAAGTGCGCTTAAGCTCGTGGGGCTGTCGTAAGAATTATTGGAGCTCAAAGCTTATTCTCTTCCATTTCTCTCCAGTGTCATGCGTCTGTCATTACCAGTTCCAGCCAGTCAGACCATAAACCCTGAAATCTTTTCTTCCACAGTTGGTCGTGTGGAAAGATGCTTCTCGTTAAAATACAGGGATTTATCGCAGAATGCTAACATGTTGGTGTGGGTTTTATACTATTGCTTTTCATAAACCTATTACTCTTCAATCGTTTGCGTTCTCGGTGTTGGGATTAGTGCATGGTATATAAACGAGATTCAGTCAAAATTACCCCGCAGATCAAAGTGGGTAGTTTAGAGGTTGCTTAGAACAGCAGCATTTGACGTTTTGTTAAAAGGAAAAGTAACATCTAAGTTTCTAAAGTATTCATGGTTCTAACTAAAATATATAGCTTAACGGCTGATCTTAGACTAGCAAATCTTCAGGAGTATTCAGTGGTGACCTGGTCATTGTTTTAAAGTACTTTTTCCTTTTCACTCAGAAATTCTCAAAGGGTTTCACCATTTTTGTCTGGTTAGTAATTTGGGTCCCTTGAAAGAATAACAGTGACCTATAGACATTGTCTGAGATTTGATGAATAAAATACCAAAGTATGAGCGCAAAGCAGCACAGAAGGTGTCTACTTGTTGGTGGTGAAGTACAGGTGTTTAACATTTGCTGTAATGCTGTTTGGGGAACTAAAAAAATCTGGCTTCTGCTGTCTAATCAGCTTTCACAACTGGACTTTTGAAATGGCTGCTTTCACGGCATTGGGAAGACTTGAAGAAACCGTCTTTTGCTAGGAAAGCTTCGTATACAAGTTGCCATTTAATTCAGTCACTCCCATTTTCATGCATGACATTAGGAGCAGCTTTCCCCACTACTGCCTGTCTGAAGCTGCTAATGAACAGGCCTATACTATTATGGCAAGCCAGCATGGGGCAGCAACATTAATGGAATGTTGCTCTCCTTGTACATTTCTAAAAGTCACTGCAGTTCTTTGGAAAAACATACCCCCCCCCACCTCCCCAGTCTCATTTGAGAAGTCTTGTAAGTCTGTTGATTTGCCCCATTGATATAATTGACAACACAAAATTACCTTCTCTCAGTCCTGTGTAATTCTAGTGTCCAGAACGATTCTCTCTGCCATTATTTGCTTGATTATTAAACACATGCTTTGACTGTTCATACTGCTAGTATGTAGTTCAAGGTAGTTCAGGCTTGCTTGCATGTTAGTTTTTTTCCCCCCACTATTCTAAATTAGCACTAAATTTATATTTGCCTGTAGTGGTGAGGTATGTATTGCAGGAAAATGCATATTAGAAATAATTTTCCTGCCTTAATAGAATTTGGCACATGCTTGCATAGCTAGTAATATAAAAGACTTTTTAAAAATCTGTCATTTGTGCATTAAGGCTCATGCTGTGGCACTTGTGTGTTTCTCGATTTTTCTCCAAGATTGAACTTCATATTGTCCTTCTTGATAGCGCATATGAGCCTATTAACTGACTTACTTGAATGAATTAACTTGCTTAATTCATATTTTGCGCACGTTACCAGGAAATGCATGTTAAAAATATGGTTCAACTGTCATTCTTGTAGGCTTTTCACAAATAACATCTCTGCTTATTGTGGTTAAAATCGTTTGTAACCCTCTTTTTAATTTGTTCAAAAAATCTAAAATTTAACTAACTTAACACAACCTTTAAGACTTACATTCGAAACATTTTTGAAAAAAAGTTATGACTCTCTTGTATTCCACTGATGCATCAGACTCCAATTGCAGTAATATTTAAATTTTGTATTAATTCCCTTCAGCACTCATACCGTTTGTTACTGAAGTCTGATGATTGACAAGGTGTAAAAGCCTGCAGCTCAAGATTCATTTGCCTGTTTGCTGTATAGACTGCTACCGTTTTGAGGTTTGGCTGTTTAAAGTCTGAAAATGGTTGGCTGCAGATTCCTTTAATTTCGCTGAGCACGATGTAGGATGGAGGCTCATTGGCAAGATTCACTTTCTTCCGGTTATCCTTGGTTGGACAGCCGCACGTTTTGGCAGTTCCTGGGCAACGTCGAGCTTTGTGGGGTTACCGTGGCTGTTGTGCGAGGTCTTCTAAATGGAGTATTTGCGCATGTGTCCACTGATCGTTCAAAGGTAGAGAAACTTCACTTCCCCGACCAGCAGCATTGAAGGCAGGCCTCAGGCAGATGTCAAGATATTCTTTATGTGGCCCTTTGTTTCTGAAACAGGGCTTTACTAAAGCTGACAATGCAAGGTTTCTAATTTTATTTCCTGGTTAATCAAGGCGTTCTTGTCATTTTTTTCCCCCCCTCAAAGCGTTTCCATCTTTCAGAACTGAATAGCTGCACTAAGTTATTCCCTAAGGAATGGGGCAGTGGTGGATTGAGTTTACCGTATTGGGTCATTTTGGTGCTTGTTTAGTATAGTAGTCTACTGTTGATTTGAGAATGCTGGATTGATAATGTTTTCCTTGCTATTGATGGGACATTGCCCCCAGCTAAAATTATTGGAGGCCTACATCGATTATATGGTCATGTTCTAAATACTTTCACACCACTTATTGATATCCTGGTGCCTGTTTATGAATGATGTAACACGATTTGTAATGTGCAAATGGTCCAGCTTGGAACTTAGGACTGGAGCCAATTCAGGAATCAGTGGTTTTGCCATGCAGGCATCATCATTTTTAAGAACAGTACTAATTCCATTGAAATTGTTCTGACATTCAGCTAATGGTGTATCTAATGCTGAAATCTTACTGCCAAGTATTTTCGTATCTTAATGTTTTTTCGCGAAAAGAGAACTGGTTCTTTACGCTGGATTTTCTCATTTCAAATTTTTAAAATATTTTAAAAATTCCATAGGAAAATTATCAAGTGAAGCCTGTTCATGGTAATTTTGTAACTGGAATTCTCCTTGACCGCTTACTGGCTTTTAGGTCGTGTTTCGTGAATCTTGAGCATTGTGCACAGCTAAATTGTTTTCAGTGCTTATGGAACACCCAATCAGTACACATTTTGCTGCTCCCCAAAGAAGACTAATGTGTATTTTTATTTTAGCCAACTTATGGATCGTCCTAATGATCTGGCCCTTCCCCTTCCTCTTTTTTTTTTCCTGAGCTGCTCAGTTAAAGCAACAAGTTTTTGCTAATGTGAACCCTACTGTGGGAGCTCTTGGCTGATTCTCTCTCTGCAGTGGAAGAGCAGCCGCATTAATATACTGTAATAGTTCATATTTTGAAGTGTTTGTGTTTTAAAGTGTGAGTCTGTCAGTTCTATAATTTAGGAAGGCATGCAGCCGTTTGTGTTAGGACTTATAGTGCTTTGATTTGCAGCCTGAGCTAAAATGAACATAGTGTTCCGATATTCGACCATCGAGGCTTGGGGACTGGGGGGCGGGGTGGGGGGGGGGGGGTACTGTTCCTGTGAATGGTGTTCTGTTACCTCACAGTTTGTGTATTTTTGGATCTAATGCATCAATCGTAGGGTCAGTACTGACCATTTCCCATGTTACCTGCACTGTGCAGTTCAGATGCATCCAGTGTCCTGCACGTTGCGGAGAAGCCGTGTGGCATCTCTTAAAGCTATTTGTGCATGATGTTTGTTGTGCCAGCTATAGGAGAGCTGTGGTGGATGATGGCAGAAAAATAAGATGGAGCATCAATTTAATCTGGTTCCGTTTTTAAAAAATAGTTTCCAGGCAGAACTCTCACAAAGCAGAGTTGCCTTTTATGAGAACGTTGACTGACACAATGTTGTGTAACTTTTGTATTATACTATGAAGTTTTCTACACTTATTTTACAGTTGATTCATTTGACACAAGTTTGAGACATGAGCCAATGTTAATTTTTAAAAATTTTAAATTACTGTTAGTATGGAGAGCATTTAAACATCTTTTGTCATTGTTGCTGTTAAATACACTCATTATTAAAGGCATAAAGTTGTCTGCCTGCTACCTTAGAATTTTCATTAAGTGTTCAGGCTAGAATCTGGGCTTATTTTACGTTGATTGAAGGTCCGTGTTCGTGCACATTGAACTTGTTGCGACCAGTATTACCATGAACTTAAACAAATGAAGACGGGCACCAAATAAAAAAATATTATGAATTGAAAATAAAAAGGAAATATTTAGCAAAAACGTCAGACTTTAAACTACCAAAAAGTATGCCTACCACCATCTCTACCTGGTTAACCACAATATCTCCCCTTTTTTTAAAAGATGTTGTGGCTGCTGTCCCTTTCGTCACCAGGACTTCAGTACTTTATTGTTTCCATGGTGCATCAAAACAGTCGAGTAACCGAATTTAATAAATATAAGGATAGGTTGGATTTATACAGATCATCTCTTGGGCATCACAATACACAGCTCATTAATATTTTAGACATACTACTAATCTGCTAAAATTGTGAGCATAAGTAACGTCAACCTATGTATAGTGCTGAAAACTGGCGTCTGTTATCTAAAGCCCTGCAATAATATAGTTTGTCAAAATAAACAATTTCATTCCCTGGAGGAAAATTATCGTTTAATCAAACAATTGGTAAAATACTTGATAGATTAATTGATGGAAAAAAAAGTCGTTAGTGGCAGCCCTACTCCACTGCCTCAAAACACAATTAGCTGAAGATTACGTTTGCAACTAGTTTTAAATGATGCCAAAAATGCAGCATATGATAGGTGTGTTTCTCTCGAACAATCATTGCTGAAACATTTGTGGTAAATTGTAGTAGTGACACCTGTGGTGTTTTATACTTTCAGTCCCTCATTGTATTAATTTTCTTTTGTGTTGCCATGGCTTCATCTGCGCTGCCAGGTATGGTATGAACCAGCATTGACAGGCTTTTTGTCAATGGCCTTTTTCCAGAAATACTGTCCGTTTCAGGTCGACACATCAGTCCGATTTTCCTTGTACTTGTGCATTATGCTGTCTGATTGGTGTCCTCAGTGTGAGGTTTCTCACTTGTGTGACAAGCAGCTCTAGACTCAGGCTGCCGTGAGTGATCAAGACATCTTCTGAAAAGCTTTGTAGGCATGAAAATGCGTGGAAAGTAGGCAGGACGTGGCCCAGAGAAGCTTCTTTGGTGCCTCCTCGCATGCAGGGACAGTCTCTGCGGTCGCCGCCTGATTTCTGCTTATGAGAGACGCATCAGTTCGTTGAATGTCATGCCACCTGTCCGCATCTCTGGGTGCTTTCTCTCCCTGCCTGTTTTGATGTGTTGGCATGTGACGGTTTTCCTGTTCTTCTAAAAATGTCTCTTCCTCCTCTGTCAGATTTCAAGTCGCTGTTTGACCTGGAGCATGACCTGCCGGACGAGCTCATCGCCTCGGCGGATCTGGGTCTGGTCAACGGCGGGGATGTGGGTCAGCTGCACGTGGGCCTGCCCGGGGGGGCCGGGGGCCAGGACGCGGCCGCCAAGCACAAGCAGCTCTCGGAGCTCCTGCGGACAGGTGGCCCCCCCGCATCGGCGCAGCAGCAGCAGGCGGCCGGTGGGAGCCCCAGCAGTGCGGCCATGGGGCTCCTGAGCAGTACGAAGGCGTCCCAGGCCATGCCCGGCATGGGGGTGCAGCAGCAGCAGCATGTCCAAGCCCAGCAGGCCACCATGATGCAGCAGCAAGGGATGCTGAACAGGGGCATGATGGGACCCCAGAAGGGCAACGGACAGCCGTCGGCACCCACACCTTCGCAGCAGCAGGTCATGATGGGAGGGCAGGTGATGAACGGCTCCCCACGCATGTCCTACTCGAACCCTGGGATGGGGAGCAATAACAGCAGCCTGCTAGCAGAAACGCTGCAGCAGCAGCAGCAACAACTACAGCAGCAGCAACAGCTTGGTGCTGGAGCACAGACTGGAATGAGGGGGACCCAGCAACCGGCAGCAATGAATAAGGTATCCCAGCTCTGCTGTGGGGGACGGGCTTTAAGGTTTAAGGGGAGACGGGCTTTCATTGCTTTTGAGTGTCTTCTGTGGAAGCAGAGAAACATCAGTCTATCTCCACCTTTGGAAGCCAGTATGGCTGGGTGTGTCTGTCGTCGCCTAGGTGGGGCTAACTGGAAATAAGACAGCACTAACTCGGAATTTGAAGTATCAAAACATGGTAACTCTGTGGAAAATCCACCATACGTCGTACTTTATTAGGACTGCTGGTTGCGAACACCCCCGAACCCCCCCCCCCCCCCCCGGGATCACAGCTGCTCTCTCAACGTCAAAAAATGGCCCTCTTTTGCACGCTGCTGAATAGAGGTTCTCTGCATATTTCTCATCCCATATGGCTCGGATAGGACCTTCACAGTGCTGCCTTCCCCCCAGGGGGCCGAGCTGGGTAGCGCGCAGTTATTCGGTGTTCAGAATGTGAATGAGAGCCCTCCCCAACCTTTGTAGAGCGTGTCCATTTCCTCATTGTTCTTTGAGTACTTAAGACTGGCAGACAGTGCTTGGTGCCTTACATCCTGCGTGATGTTTTCGCTGGGTTAAATTGGAGTCTGGGAGGTGATTTGTGGGTGTGGCAAATAACTCCCTCAATGGTGTGTATGTGTGCGCGCGCGTGCAAGCACGGGGGTTTGTTTTGATTCCATGTCATTCCGAACAGTAATTTCACAATCGCGATTTTTACAATTGGCTGACACGAAAGACCTCGGCGTTTCATTCGTGACAGCCTGTTCTGAGTGGCGTGCACGTATTACGCTGTTTTTCTTTGTGCACTTCGTGTTGTTAGACCTGTTCCCCAGTGGATCTGAACGTGATATTCTTGAGTGTTGGTCTGTCATGGGGCGTCTGCTTTAACGTGCTCGGCGGCAGCGCTCTCATGTAGGTAACGCGGGTGTTTGGTGACGTGAGGAGGCCTCGGAGTCATCCTAAGATGAGAATTCATGCTGCCGTCGGGCCCCCCAGAGCTGAGCTCCTTAATCATTCAGATTGTGCTGTATGCAAGCTAGTGCTCTGATACACCTGTCATTTTAAGGATATATACTAAGCTTATAGATGCACTTGTTTATTCAAGTCGATGCATTAATTTTATAAATGTTAGCGTGGTGCAGTTGAACTCCCAGGTTCAGATATTGAATTATTGGCATATGATATAAAGGTGGAGTGGCGATATATGGACATGGGGGCTGTAATGGTGTGTGGCTCAGTGGGGTAGGTCTCTGTGCCTGTGACAGGAAGATTGCCAGTTCGAATCCCGTCCTTGGCAGAATTGTCTGTGGCCCTTACAGCCCCCTAAAATGCTCTGAGAGTGCCTGATGAATGGCTGGCCCTGTGCTCTGATTAGGCTCCTCACTTTCAATCTTCCCCCAATAAGCCCCCAAGCTTTGCTGTCAAGTGTGTGTGTGATGTTGCTTCTCCATTATGGCAAAAAAAAAGCATAATCATGATTATTTTGGTCCAGATTTTGATCATGATTATTTAACACAATTACTCATTGACTTTGGAAATAATATGCATTTAAAAAAAGCTTTTTAATGGTGGATTTCTTTGAACTCTGTAATTAAACTGAGAAACAAAAGGGGCTGGAAAGGAGCACACTGGATTTATAACTCAAGGCAAAATACAAGCCTGATCGTGAAATGAAATGCGGCATAGACGTTTTATCTTGACTTTTTGTTTTGATAATCGTTGGGTTCCGAAATTGCAATCGAAATTTTAAATTGGATTAATTGCACAGCCCGGGTGTGAAAAGGCAGGATATGTGGGGGGAGAATTAAAAAAAATCGAATATACCTGTATTTGTACAACAAATCACGTCATTTTCATTTAGAGGTGGCGGGCATCGTGCCCAGTGAGAGCCAGCTGCACGCGTGGCACTAGGGCCTGTCATTGGCACTCGGCCTGCTTGCTTCATTGTTTGCTCCCATTGTCATTTGGAATGTAAACATGGTTTGGTAATAACAGAATAACTTCATATTGTGGTTTATTCTAAAGATCACTTAAACAGATTCCAACTGATCCACTTTAATCTGCCAAGCGCATACTAATCTTGCCGAAGACCCACATGCATTTCTCCCTGTAAATATTCTTACGGGACTTCCTGTGGTGTTTCATGGGGGAATGTAATTAAATCAAACGTGTAAGTAAACCCAGACGGTAGTGTTGGTCGCTTGTCGTTTTAATGGAGTTGGCTGAAACTATAGTTTGAGTAACAGAATTAAACACTGGAATGGTTTTCTGCAACCCTAAACCATCTCTTCACTGGGCTATAAACCTCTTGGGAATGGCCTGAGTGATTTTTACCTGCCGGTGGATTTGTGCTTATACTGGCGGTTTATAAACTTTTATATATTTTATTTTTTGCGTTTTAAACCCCCTAACCCACTTTAATAAGGACCTTGAGTAGAAGAAGCTGGAGATTACAAAGAGGTCTAAGATGTCAGCCTTTCTCTTTAAGCTCACATGAAGAGCAGGTTTGCCTGGGAGTTGCCTCTGTCAGCTGGAAATGCTGTGGATGCTGTTCTGGCTTCTGGGAGCCGACCCTGGACAGCAGGACCTCCTGTTTCTGACAAACTGTTAGCAGAGTGCCGTGGTGTGTAGGGTGATGGTGGATTTTTCAACTAGCATGATCACTTAATGTAAAGATTCAGCCGAATGTCTGTCTTTTTGAGTGTATCGGCCCTTTCGAAGAAGACGCGCTTGGCTGGTAATCCCTGCTAAAACATCCATCCCTGAAATAAGCTTTACCAGTATGGAACACTTGTTCTTTCCCTTGCCTTAGAAGATAACGGTGTGGATGGTGAGTACACCGCAGAGTGTCATTGTCCCGTTACTGCCTGGGTAGGATCAGGCTTACCTTGGCATGAAGGTTCAGGTTTCTAATAGAGGTGTGAGGTTTGCCTCTCAGCTGGGCTCTACCAGGAATGAAGACCTTCACTAGTACAGGTGAATCAGTGTCCGCTTAACTTAACCAGTTAAATTTGCAACTAATGTAAAATCGGTGGGCTGAAACCTTCATATTTTCAGTAATATTTCAGCTGCCTCTGTAGTTGAGATGGTCACGTTAGCTGGATAGTTAGCGAGCCAGTCGCTTTCCTGGTGACAGTTGTGTGTCTTGAAATGCAGGTTATTCCTCAGATGACTAAAGGCGACAGTTTCTGCCTGTGACACGCTCTGCCTGTTATTACTGGAATGTCTGCCTATTATAACGGCGCGGAGGGTGGTTCAGCGTGTGAAGTTGAGGCCTGGTAGCCTTTCGCCTGCCATTCTCTGCCTTTTGGTTACTTAGCTTGACCCCAAGGTTCCTCCGTTTCTCAGGGTCAGACTCCTCCCTGGCTTTTCTTGGTGACTGCCGTCTCAGACTCACCCCCCCCCCCCCCCCTTCATTTTCAGATGGGGATGATGGGAAATCCAGGAACCTACAGTGCATCGTACGGCCAGTCGGCAGGCCAGGGGCTGGGGGGGGCTGGGCTGGGCCCACAGATGCAGAACAAGCCCCCTCTTCCCAACAGCTTGGCCCAGTTCCCTCTGGACAAGAAGATCCAACCTGTGCAAGGATTGCCCAACATGGTAAGGGCTGTGTGTGGCTTTAAAACAAGATGGGAGGCTGCAGCTTCTGGTCATGTGACCTCCTGTGTCCTGAGCACCATCATTTCCAGCTTTTATGTGCCTTAGTGCAATTGAAGTGATACTGATAGAACTTTGTTTCCTCTTGACTGCTGTAGTTGTTTTTTTTTGTGTGAATGGTTTCTTCTCTTAAGAATTAGCTTTACTGGAAAGCAGTTTTCAATCCCCCCCCCCCCCCATGGCATGCTACTGATTTATTTTATCCCTCCCTCCCTCCCAGGTCTCCCCCCAGCCCACCTCGATGGTATCCGGGGGAGCCGGCAATGTGGCGGCTGGGGGAATGGTGTCCGGCTCCCAGGGCACCCTGGGTTCGGCTGCCCCCGGCGCGGCGGCAGTGGCGGCAGCGGCGCCCCCCACGGCCGACCCGGAGAAGCGCAAGCTGATCCAGCAGCAGTTGGTGCTCCTGCTGCACGCCCACAAGTGCCAGCGACGCGAACAGGCCAACGGGGAGGTGCGGCAGTGCAACCTGCCCCACTGCCGCACCATGAAGAACGTGCTGAACCACATGACCCTCTGCCAGGCCGGCAAGGCCTGCCAGGGTGGGTGTCACCGCCAGTGTGTCCACGTGTCCACGTGCCTCAGTCTCAGCAACTCACTACTTAAGAGTTATTGTGCATTTAACTATTAATTTTACAAGTAGTGAAAACTTGCGACGGCATGGCGATGCTCTGCATGTGTGGCGTTGCATGTTCTCCTTGCGATGTCGTAACCTCCCCCGCAGTCCGGCCAGTTCTTACCTTTATCTCACTTGCTCTCTCCCTCCCCCCAGTGGCACACTGCGCCTCGTCACGGCAGATCATCTCTCACTGGAAGAACTGCACACGACACGACTGCCCCGTCTGCTTACCGCTGAAGAACGCCGGGGACAAGAGGAACCAGCAGAGTGAGTGTGTGTGTCTGCGTCCATGTCCGGCTTCCTTAAACATGGCCGACCGATCGGTCCTTTTGGGTCTACTTGGTACCCATAGCCTTAGTGTCTGTTTCTGTGTCCGTCTTCGCAGCCATGCTGGGCTCTACCAGCGTGGGCCTGGGCAGCTCCCTAGGCACCGTGTCGGGAGGCCAGTCCAGCACGCCCAGCCTCAGTGCCCCCAGCCAGATCGACCCCAGCTCCATCGAGCGGGCCTATGCCGCCCTGGGACTCACCTACCAGGGCGCCCAGATGCCGGGGCAGCAGCCCCAGGGTCAGATGAGCGGCCAGGCAGGCATCAGGTCGCTCGGCACCGTGGGTGAGTGGCCTTCCTGCACGGCACTGGGTGCATTTCATGCATTTGTTGTGGCGCATGTGCATAATGTCATTTAAGACTCCAGGTTACCAGTTTTTCACTGGCCACACTCACACTCTATGCACAGTCTCAGTCAGTCGCAGTACTCCAGTCAGTCGCAGTACTCCAGTCAGTCGCAGTACTCCAGTCAGTCGCAGTACTCCAGTCAGTCGCAGTACTCCAGTCAGTCGCAGTACTCCAAGGTGCAGCAACACTTGTAAAATGAGAACTGGTGTTTGTGACATTGGCACAGGGAGGCAGAGCTCTGTAGCATGGATATTTCATGTTTTGACATTTGAGTCATTTTATTGGTTGGCAAACATTCCCCCCCCTCCCAATGGAAAATCAGATTTGCGATATCTCTTGTAACAGTGTAAATTACAATTTCTGGTCCTGTTCCCTGGGCCTTTAATGGTGGAGGGTCTCGGGTCGTACCGTTGTTTCTCACTCGGCTTTTCCCCTCTCTGACCAGCAGGTGGCAGCCCCATTGGCATGAACGGGGGCGTCGGTGTCCAGCCGCAATCCCAGCTGCCCGGGCTGTTGCCAGACGCCTTGCTACACAGCAGCATGGGCCCCCAGAGGTACGCAGATTAATGCCTGTGTCCCCTCCTTCGGAGAGGCTTCACCGGGAGAGTCTGTGGTGTTTCTTAGCCTATAAAAAAATTGCATTGCCTGAAAACCTTTGCATCTCAGGCCTCTCACAAGGGCTGGGCGAATCCAGTTAATCGGCTTTTTAATATTAACTTTCTCTCGCATTGTTTGTCACTATTCGTCGGCAATTTGTAAAATTTCTTAACCAGGTGGATAATTGTTGTGTAAAATCACCTGCCCTGCTCCCAGCCCTGTCCTTCTCCCCGTCAAATACGCCACTTCCTGTTTTTGCCTTCCTAACTGCTCCCCGCTTCCTCCCGTCTCTCCCGCCCAGTCTAACGAACGACAGCAGCACCGTCAGCAACCTGGGCTCCATGCCAGCCACTGCCCCGCCCTCCTCCACCGGCATGCGGAAGAGCTGGCAGGAAGACATCACCCAGGACCTGCGGAACCACCTGGTGCACAAGCTGTAAGCTACTGACCTAGTGACCGGCGTTCCTTCATTTTTGGCGGTTTATCTGAGGAGCAAGAATGCTTTGTATCCCTGGAGCAGCCGCTATGCCGAAAGGCACCGTGTGGAGTAGAGTAATTTGCCAATGGGTAACGTTAATATGTGGGAAACCCAAAGGCCATGAGGCTCGCGTGTCGTGATGGTGGTCAGATCCCGGCAGCCAGCTGCTATGGGCCGTTTCCTTCATGGCTCAGTCTCTCCCACAGAGTGCAGGCCATCTTCCCCACTCCGGACCCCGCGGCTCTGAAGGACCGACGGATGGAGAACCTGGTGGCCTACGCCCGTAAGGTGGAGGGCGACATGTACGAGTCGGCCAACAGCCGGGTGAGGAGGCGCGAGTGCAGGGCGCGACGCCGGCGTTCCGTAAGAGCCACTCCGCCGCTAAACCGCCCCTTTCACCATCTTCCTTCACCCTTAGGCCGAGTACTATCACTTGCTGGCGGAGAAGATCTACAAGATCCAGAAGGAGCTGGAGGAGAAGCGTCGCACAAGGCTGCAGAAGCAGGGAGTGATGCCTGCTCAGGCAGGCCTGCCCCCTCCGTCACTCGGCCCTCCTCCGTCCCTTGGGCCCTCTCCGCCCTCGGGGCTGCCTCCCAGTGAGTCCGCTGTTGTGCGCCGGACGAATCGCCCTATGGCAGAATTAAGTGACCAGTGAACTGTTGCTCACTGTCCCGCTTTTTCACACATCCTCCCTTACAGGCAGCCCCCTGTCTGACCCCTCCCTCCGTCCCACGGTTCCCACCCAGATGCCGAACAGGATGCAGAGCCCCCCAGGTGAGTGCTGATTGGAGCCCTCTTGTTGCTTTTCCACTTCTGGCTCCGGAACTCGCACATCAATGCGAGTCTCATGTTCTCAGTTTCACATTTTAAACTGCAGGGTTTCAGTTGCTTTTCAGCTCCAATGTTGTTTTTTGTTTGTTTTTTTTGCCGTGTTTGTAGGAATGGCCCAGTTCAGCCAGATGGGAATGCAGACCCTGGGCCAGAAGCCCACCCCTCCGATCCAGATGGGGTCACCCATCAACCAGGTGAGTAGTTGTAGTAAAGCACCGGCTACTGTAGTGGAGCGAACCATCTGTAGTTTCCAGGGTGCCATGTAATCTGCTGACCTTTTTTCCCTACTCTGCACTTGCTCAGCCTCAAATGGGCATGGGGGCGCCACGGATGGGACAGTCCAACGTGGCTCCACTCCAGAACCAGTACCTGCCTCCGGGCCAGTTCCCCAGCTCTGGCCCAGTCCTTGGTACCGGCCCAGTTGGGATGGCTCAGCCTGTGACGCAAGGAGGAGGTGTGCAGGTATGGGGTGGGGGGCGAGTGGGGTCTGTGATGACCCCTTGCAGAAAGCTAACAGCCCATTAGCCCACGTTAAGTGATGAACGATTCGCCATGATGAGTCTGAATTATTTATGCTCTCTGACATCTGTATGGAATCTCTGCCCCCACCCCAGCAGGGTCAGATGCGCTCCCCTTCCTCACTTCCGGTCAGTAGTCCTGCGGCGCCGCCCGGCTCTGAAGGAGGAGCTACCATCGGGTCCTCTTTGGGCTCCTTGACACCCGGCAGCGTAGGAGGGCGCTCCCCATCCACTGGACCCCTGCAGCCGAACTCGCTCCCCCACTGCCCGGCCATCCACCAGAGCTCGTCTCCCTCCCCCGCCCGCAGCCGGACGCCCACCCCTCACCCCGCCACGCCAGGTCTGCTGACGCCCCAGCCTCAGACCCCAACTCCTCCTATGCTCGGTCTCCCAGCACAACAGATGCAGCAGCTGGGAGCTGCTCTGAGCCTGGACAAGCCCATGCAGCTACAGCAGCAGCCGTCGATGTCCCCCCAGGTGGGCTTGGGCTCCTCCGGCCCTGCTCAGAACGCCCCCCTGGCACCCCAGCACCCGCGCACACCAGTGAGTACACGGCGTCCAAACGAACACGATTGGTACGACCAACCGGAGGCTTTCGCTTCACTTACTCCCGCAAATCAGTTCCCCGTTTTCCTGTTTAATGCTCGTCTGCTTGTTCCTGCCCCCTTCTGGTGCCCTTCGAATGTCTCCGCAGTCACCCCTCCCTCACACTTCTGCCCACAGCTTTCCCAGAAGCCTTCGCTCATGGCTGACGGGCAGGTCTCCACCCCGGCCTCGGTCAGCAGCGTCGACATGGCGGCGTCCCACTCGGGCACCTCTCAGGACACGGCTGGCGCCCTGGACCCCCGGGTTGACCTCAAGCAGCAGGATGAGGAGGATGGAGGGCCTGGCGGGCTGATGGCAGGGGGCGGCCTGGGGGGGAAGCAGGTGGACATCAAGGCTGAGAAGTTGGAGGTGAGGGGTGGGGGGTGTGGAAGGAAAACGGCATGCATCCGGAGGCTAATGCTACCTTTGCTGCTAGGCTAGGTTTGCTGACGTATCTTCACCCATCCGTGCTGCAGGAAGAGCCCATGGGCGACGGGGTCAAGACTGAGCCCATGGACACGTCGTTGGGCTCAGCAAGCGAGGACCGCAAGCCGGAGGTGAAGACTGAAGCCAAGGAGGAGGATGAGGCTTCAGGGGCGACTGGGACTCTCAGCTCGCCCGCCAGCACTCAGAACAGGAAGAAGAGTAAGAGCTCCTTTTGGCGCTTTAAACGAGTCCCTGACCCTGAAGGTGGTTTTCAGTCATTTCAGCATCTTCAGATCCTGGGCTTGAGATGTTTGACCTGAGGGCTTCGCTACCTGTAATTTGCTCTCTGTCATTCAGTCCCACCCCTCCGTCAATCTTTCTGTGAGGGCATATCCGGCTATCCACCCCACTGTGGTACATGTCCTTGGTGTGCTGCGTCGTCATTGGCTGTTGACCGCTGCCCCTCCCCTCCCCCATCAGTCTTCAAGCCCGAGGAGCTGCGCCAGGCCCTGATGCCCACCCTGGAGGCTCTGTACCGCCAGGACCCAGAGTCGCTCCCCTTCCGGCAGCCGGTGGACCCCCAGCTTCTGGGAATACCTGTATGTATTTGGGCCAGTGCCTTGGGCTTCTGTTTCCTCACTTTTTTTTTTTTTTTTTTGCATATTGTCTGTTTGTCCATAGTATGATCGTGCTCCGCAGTACTATGGAGTGACTGGTTTGTGTGAGTGTATTCCCTAGGTGCGAAATACATATGGTTTTGGGTTCAGGCCACCACCATCTGCTGTCACTTTCTCGGTAAAGCCATAAAGTATTTGACAGATTGTAGATACGTTGTCTGAGTGACATGCTGGAACTGATCATTTTTGAGACGGATTGCACCAAAATTGAAGCAGTGCTTCACAGGGCAGCATGGACGTTGATGCCATTGATGAGACGCATTATTTGAAGGATCTTTTAAACTTTGCAGATGCATAGTATTGCTAAACGAGAGCTGATTAAAACTGAGAAATTGCGCTAAAATTGAAGTGACACCCTTAGTGTCAGCGAAGGGAAGGGTGACTACAGACGACATTTGACCTTGAATGGCCGTGAACATGATGAGCCTTAGTATTTTGTTTTTGTGATATAATCATTGTATAGATGAAGAGCCACACATGCTTTCATTTTGAGGCAACTGTGTGGCAGCAAAGGAAGGAAAGAGAAGGATATTTTTCATACTCTGCAGACATATTGTCTGGATGAATTGCACCATAGTTAAGGCAGCACAGCATAGTGAGAGCAAAGAGAAGGATCCCCTCAAATACTTGATCTTGCCAGGATGGTAACTCAAATTATTTGATCATTTTCCAGACTTTGCAGACACTTTAGGCCCTGTTCATATTTAGAGTGAAATCACATTTAATAATGAGGTTTAGTGGCAGCAAGGAGAAGGATGAGATGGAGCCTTAACCTTGTGAACAGGGTAACCCTTTACTCTTATTTACTTCTATTTGCTCTTTGGATATTTTTATCTCTTAAAAATTATGATATGGATGAAAATCTACACCTGAGGTAAATCGCCCAAATTGAAGCAGCAGCACTAGGTGGCAGTAGAGGAAGGAAAGGGAAATTGCAGAAGCCATCTTGTAAACACAGGCGTTTGAACATACAGTGGTACCTCGGTTCTCAAACTTAATCCGTTCCGGACTCTGGATGGAATCCTAAAAAGTTTGAGTTCTGATCGAATTTTTCCCATAAGAAATAATGGAAAACCAATTAATTGGTTCCCGGCCCCCCAAAATTACATCTAAATGTTTTTTTTTGTTTTTTTTTGTTTTTTTTAAGCATTTAAACACAAAATGAACAGGATAAAACAAGAGCATTTTTTTCTTAATGGCTTCCAAAACGATACATATCTTATCCCAACATTATCCCTGTCCTGCCCTGATCGTCCGCTCCTCCCGTGTGCCACGCCCCCTCGTTAATCTCGTGTGGGATCCCCATGTGATCAGTTGTTTCTGGTTGTTGTCATTAGTCCTCTGTATTAAGTCCGCGTTTCAGTTTGTTTTCCCAGTCCGGTCATTGGGTGCGTTCGACTTGCTTACAGCACTGGCTTAAAGCAACGCATTCTGATCCTGACGCAATGCATTACGGTTAGATGCATTGAAACCTCTCACCCGGCTGCACAAACTGGAAGCACCTCCGTGACGACACACCTTTAGCCCTTATTGGCTGAAGAGTTTAGTTACACGCATGACGTTTGTATCCCAGGCAGTTCCGATGCGTAATCTTCTGTTTCTCCCGAATATCAGGTAAAGCAGTGAGAACTGTTTTTCAGTTAATTTACCTGGTAAAATTAAAGTTTAAATAAATTACATAAATGCTCCAATAGTACATATAAGTTAGTGGTTTATTTATTGTTAGTTTCTGTAATGTTTCGCTGCTTTATTTGGTTAATCGTCCAGTCTGTGAAGAAGGCATTCAAGTAAGAATTGCATTGTAGTATGACATTTCCTGGCGCGTACAATTTATATTAGGTCAGCGTTCACGGTTCGACTTCTGATATTCAGATCGAGTTCTAGGTCAAACTGGTTTGTTCGAATTTCAAGAAATTCGAGTTCTAGTGAGTTTGAGAACCGAGGTACCACTGTACTCTGGAAAAACATCCCCGAACCTCCCAAGGAACATTGTACAAGTCAGTGGTTCCCAAACTGAGGCGTGAGATGATTCTCTGAATATTCTATATTGAAGTTTATATACATAGACAGGGAAAAATGTACATATTTTGCTTGGTAAGTGTCTGCTAGCCACTTGGCGAAAGTTATTGTGAGGGAGTTTAAACTTTTGTCTTAATAAAGATCTTTTGGGGAGGTGGGTAGTGTGGTTAAGGTAGACTTGGGGAGTATTACAGTAATCTATTTCTTGCATAGTGGTATTTTTATTTGGTGAAATTTATTGTGGATGAGCCCCCTCCCATACGGACGATATCTAATTTTTCATAGCGTCCAAGCCTCCTGTAGGGCTGCTGGAGATAGAGGGTGGGGGCGCGGGAGGAGTAGTGATTAGACTGGGGGGGGAGGGGTTGGCTGGGCCGTCCAGGGAATGAATCGCTGATAGATCTTGTCAGTGTCTGTCATTTGAATGGATGCTCATAAGAGGACTTTCACAAGGGTGGCATCACCTTAGCTGGCCCAGCGTTTATAATGTTCATGTAGTTAATATAACTTTTTGTTTCGTAGTGTGTTCTCAAGTTTGGTGCTTTTTTTAAATAGGTTTTATATATCCCCCCCCCCACCCACCAGCTATCTGGAGCTTATGTTTGTGTAATCAAAAATGGTCTGTGTTGCAGTCACGTTTGATCTCCAAGGATGAGCGCAATGGGGTGTGTGTGTGTGTGTGTGTGTGTGTGTGTGTCTGTGTGTCTTTGACATTATGTGGTAGTTACTTGGTAATACCCTTGGTGTGACCAGGCCTGAATCTCACTGCTAGCTCCAGCCTCTCACCTCTTCCCTGATCCCCAGGACTACTTCGACATCGTGAAGAACCCCATCGACCTGTCCACCATCAAGCGCAAGCTGGACACGGGCCAGTACCAGGAGCCCTGGCAGTACGTGGACGACGTCTGGCTCATGTTCAACAACGCTTGGCTCTACAACCGCAAGACCTCGCGCGTCTACAAGTACTGCTCCAAGCTGGCCGAGGTCTTCGACCAGGAGATCGACCCGGTCATGCAGAGCCTGGGCTACTGCTGTGGGAGGAAGGTGCGTTAACAACCTACCCATCCCCCCCCCAGCCCCCGTATGCCTGCCGGCTGTCCATGATTGAGATGGCTGTTTCTGTTGCCCCCAGCTGGAATTCTCCCCCCAGACCCTGTGCTGCTATGGAAAGCAGCTGTGCACGATACCTCGCGATGCTGCCTATTTCAGCTACCAGAACAGGTAAGGGGGGGTGCATTACTGCCCCCAGGCCCTCGGCCCAATGTCTAGGGAGCCTGGAAGGTTTAGATGCTTAGAAGCATGCATGCAGTGCCTTTAATCTGACAGAATGTTCATTTATTGATTTTTTTTTTTTGCTCCTTGTGTATATAGTCTACCAGCGCACAAACGAACGCCCGCATGCGCAATCCTACACCCTGAATTATGGCGGGTTTAAGCCTCAGCAGTTCCACATGTTAGAGGATGTGTTCTGCTGCATTGCATTGTTTCAGAAACATACTTTTTGTGGTGAGAAAGTCAAGAATGAACCAAAAAGCAATTTTTTTCCCCCCCCCTTGTCATGTCGCTATGTTTTGCCACCGAAGTTTACAGCTCAAACCCATAGATATCAGATACATCAGATACACCCGCCCCTAGGCTGAGTGGGGGTGTGGCCCCAAATTTGGAACTGTCTTGGGTGGGGGGCATGGCCGGCTGCGTGTGATTTTCCAGGATGTGCTTAAGAATTATTTATAGGGTTTCTGTGGAGGCGGCAGGGGATTGGAACCAACGTTGAAAAGTTGTAGAATTTTCTTGTTGCGTTGTAAAATGTTAGTAAGGTGAATTAACCCCCCTGCCCCTCTACAGCCCCCCCTCCCCCCCCCTGTGTGGCTGCCTCGTGTATTATGCCCTCACTTTTATAAATCCGGTCCATTTTTACTTCAGATTTCATGCATCCGTTTTCAGTCTGGTTGGCCCTGGGGCCTCTGCTCTGGCCTGCATGCCGGCCCTGCTTCTCACTCTGCTGGTTTGCATGTTGCTGCCAGTGTGGCTGGTCTAAGAGTGAGTACCAGCAGGTGAAGACTGAAACCTAATAATAAGTTAATGTTTTATTCTGATGCCAAATAAAGATGCAAGTGCATTGTCTTTAACGGTGTTTGAAATAAGGCTATGGGATATCCCCTGGCCCCATGAGTGCTGTTGATTGTGGGATTTCACCTAGATACTCCTGTAAGATTTCAAACTTTATTTTGGCACCTAGTACAGTGCAGAGGGGGGATGTACGATTATTGAATGGTTGAAAAAGCGTGGCATTTTAATGGATAATTTCAGTGCATTTTTGAAAGAATCAGTGACAAAGGCATAGGCAGACAAAACGAATGGGGAAAAATTCTTAATTTTGGTGGGGAAAAAAACACACTTAAGTGTGACATTTCTGAACATACAAATGGAGTGTTTTGGGCCAGTTTTTTTTTTTTTTTTTTTTTCCCCCGGATGCATCGGTGGGAATAAAAATGGACCGTGCTGCTTTAAGCGGCTGCCCCTCGCCGCTGCCGCATCTGTATGCAGGGCGCTGTACCACGATGTGCTTCAGCTGTTTGCTGCAGGATTGATTCCTGCTTATGGCTTTGTGCTCTTGTTCATCTCAATGTTGTCACATTATTGTGCTTTTATGTAACCCATTCTCTGCCATCTGACCCATGCTTGTCTTGCCTGTAACGTTTGATTTTTGCACTTTGTTAACTCATTTTATCCCTGCCCCCATTACCCCTTCTCCCTTTTCTCTCTTTTTTTTTTTTCTTTTCTTTTTAATGCTTGTGATGTCTGCATTGGCCTGCTTTCGTCTGACCAATCCTCAACTTCAAACCATGCCCCCAAACCAAAATAATGCTGCATCATGATTGGCTGCCCTGGTGACGACCCCGCCCTCTGCTCTCACTTGGCCCGCCCCGTCCTGATTGGTGGCTGCTCCTTCGTGCCCTCTCTGTGAATGGCTGTGCTGTGCACGGCGGTGTAGCTCACCACAATATGGGATTCTTGCTGACAGGTACCACTTCTGTGAGAAGTGTTTCAACGAAATCCAGGGCGAGAGCGTTTCCCTGGGGGACGACCCCTCCCAACCACAGACGTGAGTACATGGTGACGCTTGCGCGCCTCGTCCGTTGTGCCCCTTGGGGCTCACAGCTGTAGTGAAATAGAATCAGAATCCTACTTGTTGTTGTTTCACATAAAGAAGTATCGTGGATCACAATATCACGACAGTATCTTTTGTGCTTGCATTTTTCTAATTTGTATATGTATGCAAATGTCATCGAGTCATAGCGAACGATTTTAAATATTTTTGCTCAAAGAGCTGGCAGAGAAGTGAAGCAGTGTTACCTCCTTGTACTGTAAAAGTGCACAGCACGAGGAACATCAGCAGATCATTCTGCAGTAGTGGCCCATTTCCGCAGCCGCTCGACCCGTGTATCTGCGCCTGGAGAGCTGTGGTCTCTGCCTTCCTTGTACTTGGTTGTGATATCCCCTCCCTACCCTCTGCTTCGTTTCAGATCCATCGGTAAAGAACAGTTTGAAAAGAAAAAGAACGACACACTGGACCCCGAACTGTACGTTCCTTCCTCGCCGTTGCGAAAGTTCACACTAAATCCATGCAGCAGTGTTATCTCTGTGATGGAATGAGGGGCGTGTATCGGGCCGCACTGAGCACGCCAGGTACTGGGATGTGTGGTTCCCACAGCGTGAGCCCCTCTCTACAGCTGCCACCGAGTATTTTATTCAGATTCTTAAACACTTTACACTGGCCTGTTCAGCAAAAGTTCTGGTGAAAGACATCAGCTATTTAAAATGGTTTTTTCCCCCCCCTTTTCCTGATGTTCCTGATTTTTGTAAACGGATCCTTTCGTTGCCCTGTGTTGCGATACATTCATCATGTTGCGAGTTGATGTGCATGTGGACGGTGTCCAGGTGGAACTCCTGCTTGGAGCCGCAAATTTACTGTGCCTCTCGACCCCCTGTTCCCCCCCCACAGACTTTTGGAATGTATCGACTGTGGTCGTAAAATGCACCAGATCTGTGTTCTGCACAACGATACGATATGGCCGTCAGGGTAAGTTTAAATAACTCTCCAGTTTCCAAAGTTGTTTCTTCCTGCTGTTTTGTGTGTCTGCCAGTGTTTCCCAATCCGGTCCTGGGGGGTCCTCAGACAGTCCACATTTTTGAATACCTGGTAGAGCTGGGAGGGTACAGTGTTCTTCATTACCTGGGAGCTGACAAGGAGCAAAAACATGGACTGTCTGCGGGTTTAAAAAAAACGCTGACCTATAGCTTGTGGTCTGCTTCAGTTTTGCAGTCTCTCGCCTGTATGTGAGCCTGTTTAACAGCCCTGTCCTCCCCCCCCCCCCCAGCTTTGTCTGTGATGGCTGTCTGAAGAAAGCCAACAAGACCCGAAAAGAGAACAAGTACTCGGCCAAAAGTAAGTGGAGTAAGTGACAGGCAGGGGGGCGCCATCTACAATCATCATCCATGGGGCTCTCCTTCCCAGTGTGTCCTCCCCCACCCTTCCCTGGTTTGCTCTTTATCCCCCCCCAGCCCGGTTGGCCCCTCTTGCAGACGCTGTAATAACTCAGCCCTGCTTGGCACCCTGCAGTCACCCCTGCCTGGGCCTGTGTTCGGGTGCCGCTGGACGTCCAGACTTTTACTGGGTCTGATTGTGGTCCGTTTGTGCCAATACACAGCCGCTAACCCCCCACCCAGCATTTTATTTTACATTTTTTTTTTATAAAGCGGAGCGGTGTTTGGCTCAGCAGGTTAGGATGTGTCTGTGATCAGAAGGTTGCAGGTTCAAATCCCACTGTTGGCAGAGTGATGTCACCCTTGGGCCCCTAGGCAAGGCCTCAAACTCCCAACTGTTCTGGGGACTGGCTGACACTCCTTTCTGAAATTTGCATTTTACATTTTATATTTAAAATTAAAAAAAAATATATATTTCCCCCTCTGCCAAAGTCATGTGGTTTAGTGTCTTAAACTAGTGTGGGGAAATGAGGCACCCAGGCACGGCTGTTCCGAAATATTGAGGGCAATCCGGTGCCCATTTTATAAAGTTTTGTTTTGTTTTATTTTGCTTTTTAACGTTTTATTGGCCCACGTTTTTTGTTTGTGTTCCTCCCCCCTCCCCCGTCCAAATTCCACACAAGCAAACGTCACGTTTCCTGTATAAACATAACGCTCAATCTTCTCCTTTCAGACGCCTGCCTACAGACAGGGGGTGCTCAGAGGGCCTGCAGTTGCCGGGCTCTGCAGTACCTCGGGGGTTCACTGGGGGACCTGTGGGCCTGGTGGGATGAACCGCTGAGTCTCCGCGTGGTTTTTTTTAACTTGGTTCCTGCATACCTAGGAGGGTGACAGGCCGGCTTGGAGGCTGTGTACTCTGCTTAGAGAGACGGCATATTTCTAGACCTCTAACCAGGACGGTTCCATCTCTCGGTGCATTTCTCTCGTGCGCTCGGCCTGCAAGCGCCGTGAATATTTGGCAGCACGTCTAGTCACGTCACGTCACGTCAGGGTGGTGCGTCGCTCTGCGCGTTATGACACCGTGTCTACGATCAGAAGGTCGGCAGTTCAAATCCTGTAGCTGTTGGTCACCGTTGGGCCCTTGAATGAAGCCCTTAACTGCACTTGCTCCAGAGACCCTGCTCTCTGACTTCTAACTCGTATGTCACGTTGGACAAAAGTATCTGTTAAACATAAATTCATTCTGATCGGCACCTTAATTCCAGAAAACGGTCGCACCTGCTGATATTCTAACCTTCCATAAATAGGCATTAGCAGGTAAGTTAAGGTTTTGGGTGAGTGATTGCTGATTTTAATAAATTGGGCTCTGGTTCAGAGCAATGGGGAGTGTGGGTCAGAGTAAAAATGCCTGTGAAGCATGTACTCCCCTGGGGGCTGTTTGGACCTGACCACAGATTATTCCGTTTGTGAGTGTCACCGTGGCTCAGAAGAGAAGCATACCGTCGGTACACTGCTTATGAAGACTACAATGGATTGTAGAACTTTCCTGCAGGTCATTTTTGTCTGTTTTTTTTGGCCCTGCCTGAAACTCCGCAGACGAGGCTGGTATCTTCTCCTGCCATGTGTCCGATCTCACCAGGCTTCTCCTTTCCACCCCTCCTCCGCAGGGCTCCCCCAGACCAAGCTGGGCAACTTCCTGGAGGCGCGTGTGAACGAGTACCTGAGGAGACAGGCCCACCCGGAATCTGGTGATGTCACCATCCGCGTGGTCCACGTCTCTGACAAGGTGGTGGAGGTCAAGCCTGGCATGAAGGCTAGGTGAGCAGGCTGGGAGGTGGGGGGCGTGGCCCTGGGGGCGTGGCCCGGTATGGGATGAGGGTCAGCTCGAGGAGGGTGCTCTGAAGCTGGCTAAGGCTAGATCATTGCCTTGTTGGTCCATCATCAGCATCTCTTGAAGCTCCCTCTTGCTGACATCTATACATCTAACTCCTTGTCCCTGCAGGTTTGTGGACAGTGGTGAAATGGCAGAGTCCTTCCCCTACAGAACGAAGGCGCTCTTTGCGTTCGAGGACATCGACGGCGCCGACGTCTGCTTCTTCGGCATGCATGTGCAGGAGTATGGCTCAGACTGCCCACCGCCCAATCAGAGGTGAGGAGGCGTGTCTCTCGTCGCTTCCTTCCTCGGAACTTGACACTGTGCTGCCTGTCTTTACTAGCGATGCATGTGTGGCTGATGCTGTTATCTTTGGAAACTTAAGGCCGATTCATACTTCGTTTTTCCGTGTGTGCTGCTGTGGATGGTGTGCGTGTAGCCCAGATTTTTAAGTTTATCAGATCATTCTCTGGAGGCAGAGTAGTGGCTCTGAGACTAGGGATCTGTGCCAGCAACTGGAAGGTCGTTGGTTCGAATCCAGTGAATGCCAGGAGTGATACTGTTCCATTGGACCCTTGAGCAAGGCCCTTAACCTGCAATTGCTTCATCTTGGGTATGATGTTAATCATATCCAATGCTGTAAGCAAATCCTCCTACTTACAGGGAAATTTGGGGGTTGATGGCAGGATTGGCACTGCAGCCACTGGAAAAAAACTCAGTGGTCCATTCGGACTAGTGTGGTGCTGCACTGGGCTTCTCATCCCTGAGGTGGTTTGTCGCATGATGGGTACAGCAACGCACAAACCAGCACATGCTCCTTACGGAACTCTGCAAGGAAATTGACTAGGGGGTTTGCGGTAGGTGGCAGCAGAGACTCAGAAAAGAGGGCAACCAAAAAAAGAGTAGAAGAATATCTATTGTAGAAGGTGCGGAGATATCCACATCAAATTTTTACTGTCCAGATCATTTACACTGTCCAGACATTATACTGCAATATATGTTAAGACTTCAATTTTGAAATCTTGAAGATAAAATTCGCTTGAGGGGCCCAAGTCTACACTAACAACTATAAAACTTGATAATTTTTTTTTTTTTTTTTTACCCCTTCCACTACCATGCTCGTATTTCGTTTTTCCAATACATCTGCCCCCTGCTGGTCAGGTGGAATATCACTGCTGTATGCATCCACTGCCTGCGACCATCAGTTCAGTAGGAAGACAAATTTCTCCTTGCATGACCGTCCACGGGCCGAAAGCACACGCGGAAAAGTGAAGAAATGAACTAGATGTCAGTGTCGCTGCTGTTTTGTGTATATACTGGTTATATATTTCCCTCACGCTTGCCCCCCTCCCCCAAGGCGTGTGTACATTTCCTACCTGGACAGCGTACACTTCTTCCAGCCAAGGTGTCTGAGGACGGCCGTGTACCACGAGATCCTCATTGGCTACCTGGAGTACGTGAAGAAGCTGGGGTGAGCCTGACCGCCACAGCTTGCAGGCTGCCTCAGTGCTGCCCCCTTCAGGAGCTTTAATAGTTTTCAAGTGGCTGTGTTTAGCTAGCAGTGATTTCCATGTCATGCCTTATCTGGGGTGGGTTGTTTTTATTGCGTTGTGTTTGAGGCGGGGTGTGTAAAGGAGATCCACCCCCCCCCCTACCCTAGCTCACGCCAGTCCCTCCCTGATGCAGGTACACGACAGGCCACATCTGGGCATGTCCCCCGAGCGAGGGAGACGACTACATCTTCCATTGTCACCCAGCCGACCAGAAGATCCCCAAACCCAAGAGACTGCAGGAGTGGTACCGCAAGATGCTGGACAAGGCCGTGGCTGAGCGCATCGTGCACGACTACAAGGTACCAGATGGGGGCGTCCACCCACGAGCGCAAAAAGGAAACCTCCATCTATAAGTCTGTTTGACTCTCCCTCGACAGGGTCACAGGCAGGTTTATAACCTTCTGCTGGTGTCACCCCATTGCGGTGATCAGCAGCCTGTGATCAGCAGCCTGTGATCAGCAGCCTGTGATCAGCAGCCTGTGATCAGCAGCCTGTGATCAGCAGCCTGTGATCAGCAGCCTGTGATCAGCTTCTCCATTTACAGCTCTGTAGTGCAGGCTGAGTGTAGTCAGTCGGCAAACTGTGTCCCGGATTCAGGGCCAGCCCAAGGCATAAGCGAACTAAGCAGCTGCTTAGGGCCCAGCAGCCACCAGGGGTTCTGATCAACTTATCAGAACAAAAAGGAAGATGACGAATGACGACTAGGTTAATCGGATTTTCTTGGGGTCTCAAAAAGGGTTTGGTTGGGTTGGGCCGGTACTGGCCAGACTGACACTAATGTGGTCAGGGAGCAGGGATGGGCATGTGCTTGGCTGTCCAGTTCCCCTGTCTTGATAAATGCCCCCCCCCCCCATTCGCAGGATATCTTCAAGCAGGCAACAGAGGACCGTCTCACCAGCGCCAAGGAGCTGCCCTACTTCGAGGGCGACTTCTGGCCCAACGTGCTGGAGGAGAGCATCAAGGAGCTGGAGCAGGAGGAGGAGGAACGCAAGAGGGAGGAGAACAGCACCTCCAGCGAGAGCATCGACGTGAGTGGGGCGGAGGAGGGGCAACCGTAATCAGTACGACTGAGCCAAAAGGTGGGCCCTGAACGGCTGTGTTATCCCCCCTGACCGCAGGCCACGAAGGGCGACAGCAAGAACGCCAAGAAGAAAAACAACAAGAAAACGAGCAAGAACAAGAGCAGCCTGAGCCGAGCTAACAAGAAGAAGCCGGGGATGCCCAGCGTGTCCAACGACCTGTCGCAGAAGCTTTACGCCACCATGGAGAAGCACAAGGAGGTGGGCGTCTGTTTGTGATACAGCTGCATGAGGTGTATGTGCTGTACTGTGTGTGTGTGTGTGTTAGAACGTTTCTTGTGGTGCCACAACATCTGAACAAGATGAACACTAGATTTTTGATTTAATACCTGCTTTGATTACTCATAATGTAATTGGAGGCTCAGTAGCAGGGATTCAGGCTCTCAGTATTTAGCTATGAGCCCCCACCCACCCCCCAAATGGTTCTTGAAGTGTTCCTGAGCCCCCCCACCCCCGGCAGGTGTTCTTCGTGATCCGGCTGATCGCGGGGCCCACGGCCAACTCCCTGCCGCCCATCGTGGACCCGGACCCGCTGATGGCGTGCGACCTGATGGACGGGCGCGATGCCTTCCTGACGCTGGCGCGCGACAAGCACTGGGAGTTCTCCTCACTGCGGCGCGCCAAGTGGAGCTCCATGTGCATGCTGGTGGAGCTGCACAACCAGGGCCAGGACCGCTTCGTCTACACCTGCAACGAGTGCAAGCACCACGTGGAGACGCGCTTCCACTGCACCGTCTGCGAGGTGAGTGGGCTGCAGGTGACCTGTAGGGACCAGACTTTCAGGGCGGTTAGAGATTTCTTTTGGGAAAGACTTGAGTTGAATGACCTGTAGGGTTGAGTACAAATTAGGGTGGAAGAACATCCACCCTCTAGTAAATTTGAGATTCGTCATATGTTCCCATAAGTCTTTGCGAGCCTGTATCTGTCCTTAATGGCAATGCCTGTCTCGTTTGCCCCCTGCAGGACTACGACCTGTGCATCACCTGCTACAACAGCAAGGGTCACGAGCACAAGATGGAGAAGCTGGGCCTGGGGCTCGACGACGAGAGCGGTGGCCAGGCAGCGTCAGCCACACAGAGCCCCGGCGACTCACGCCGCCTCAGCATCCAGCGCTGCATCCAGTCGCTGGTGCATGCCTGCCAGTGCCGCAACGCCAACTGCTCGCTGCCGTCCTGCCAGAAGATGAAGCGCGTGGTGCAGCACACCAAGGGCTGCAAGCGCAAGACGAACGGCGGCTGCCCCATCTGCAAGCAGCTGATTGCACTCTGCTGCTATCACGCCAAGCACTGCCAAGAGAACAAGTGCCCCGTGCCCTTCTGCCTCAACATCAAGCACAAGCTGCGCCAGCAGCAGCTACAGCACCGACTGCAGCAGGCGCAGATGCTGCGACGCCGCATGGCCAGCATGCAGCGCATCGGCCCGCCTGGTGGCGGAGGGGGCGCCGCCAGCCTGCCATCGCCGGGGAGCGGCGCCACCACTGCCCCTGGCACGCCTACGTCCAGTGGTGGCCAGACGCCCAATTCGCAGACGCCCACCCAACCTGGCATTCCGCCCATGCCGCAGCCTGGGATGGGAGGTGTCCCTCCCACGCAGCAGCCGCAACAGATGCAGCAGCAGCAGCAGGTCCCTCAGCAGCAGCAGCAGCAGCAGCAGCAGCAGCAGCAGCTCCACTACCCCATGCAGATGGTGCAGGGGGCTGGCATGATGAATTCACCCCAGCATCCACAGCAGCAGATGGTCTCCCAAGTGCAGCAGCCTCAGCCTGGCCCTGGCCAGCAGCTTCCACATGGAAACGCCCCCCCCCAGCACATACCCCGGCCCCCAGGCTCCTCCCCCCACCCTCCGTCCCAGGGAAAGCCAAGCCTCGGTCCGGCCACGCCCCCCCAGCAGCAACCCAACGCTGGTCAGCCTGCCTTGCAACCGCAGCAGTCGCCAGGCCCCCCACAGGCGGCCCTGGAGATGGCCATGAAGATCCAGCGTGTCGCCGAGACGCAGTGGCAGATGGCACAGGCGCAGATGCTGCAGCGGCAGGCGGCTGGCATGATGCCCCCCCACCCACACCCCCAACCCCAGCAGCCGCAGGGCGTGCCCATGAATCACCCAGCCAGCAGCATGGTAGGCATGGCTCCTCAAGCTCAGGCGGCCGCACGTGCCCACATAGAGCAGCAGTCCCCACAGGGCACCCCCCAGGGCCCGATGGCACCGCAGTTCCAGCACCCCCAGCAACCGCAACCGCAGCAGCAGCCAGCTTGGGGTGGCCCAGCTATGCAGCCCCAGCCCAGGCCGGGCATGATGGGCCAGATGGGGCACCCAGGGATGGTCCCTGGCCAGCAGCAGGTCCCCCAGCAGCAGCAGGCTATCCGCGGCAGCGCCATGGGTGTGGGCCCCGCAGGGGCCGCAGGGACGGTGGGCAGCAACAACCTGCCCCAGGCTGCCCTGCAGGAGCTGCTGCGCACCCTGCGCTCGCCGAGCTCGTCCTTACAGCAACAGCAGGTGCTCAAGATCCTGCGGCTGAACCCGCAGCTCATGGCCGCCTTCATCAAGCAGCGGGCGGCCAAATACCAGGGCGCAGCGGCGGGCGGCCAGCCGGCTCCGGTGGGAATGGACGTGCAGGGCGTCAGTGTGAACCCAGGGGTCCCAGTGGCGGGTATGCAGCTGGGGCAGGGGGTGGGCATGTCACCAGTGGCTCAGCTGCAGCAGCAGCAGCAGCAGCAGCAAATCCAGCAAAGGCCTCTGCTCAGCAGTGGTTTGCAGCAGCAGCCGCAGCAGGGAGCCATGTCCAATATCAACCCCCAGTTCAGAGAACTGTTGCTGCGGCGACATCTCCAACAACAACAGCAACAACAACAGCAGCAGCAGCAGCAGCAGCAACAGCAGCAGATGAGCAACCATGCACAGTTCCAGCAGCCCCAGCCCCCCCAGCAGCAAGGATACCTGGGCCAGCCTGGAGGTCCGCAGCCTATGCAGCAGCAGGGCCAGGGCTACCCTGGGGGTGTGTCCCATCAGCAGGTGGCTGTAGCCATTCAACAGCGCCAGCAACAGCAGAACACCATGGTCGGGCTGCAGGGGCTTGAGGGTGCAGCAGCAGGTGGCGCTGCAGGTCCCCCTCAGCAGCAGCAGAACCCACAAGGCGGCCCTCAGCCTCAGAGCAGCCAGGTACTATTCCAGCAAGCACTGCATCAACGGCGGCTGCAGCAGCAGCAGCAGCAGCTGCAACAGCAGCAACAGCTGCAGCAGCAACAGCTGCAGCAGTTGCAGCAGCAACAGTTGCAGCAGCAGCAGCAGTTACAGCAGCAGCAGCAGTTACAGCAGCAGCAGCTGCAGCAGCAGCAACAGCAGCAGCAGCAGCAGCAGCATCTTGGTGGGGGCTCCCCAGCCCAGCACAGCAGCCCCATCAGCCCCCAGCAGCAGATGGCGCAATCGCCCCACCCCCATCTGCAGGCTCCGCCTCTGGCTGCAGCCGCCTCTTCGCCTGGCAACCAAGTTCGTTCGCTACAGCCCTCCCCACGGCCCCAGTCGCAACCCCCGCACTCCAGCCCCTCGCCCCGCATGCAGCCCCAGCCGTCCCCCCACCACATCTCCCCCCAGACGCAGACGGGCTCCCCCCACCCCGCTCATCTTCCCCAGCATCATTCAGGCATGGTGGCGCCCCAGCCCCTACAGCAGCAACAACAGCAACAGAACTCTATGGACCCAGGTCCGTTTGGCACCGACCCAAACGCCATGCTGTCTCAGCTCAGTGGGCTGGGGGGGATGCATGGGGCGGGGGCGCCAGACCTGTTGGCCGGGAACAGAGCGGACCTGGGGTCCAATGTCAATCACAGTACCTTAGACATGATGTAGCATTACAGTGCGTTGAAAGAGTTCCTGCGGGAATGGCGTTAGAATTGTCCTTTTATTTAAAACTTTCAAAATAAAGAACTGAACTTCCTATGGGAGATGCTGCAATTAAATCACGTCAATGAATAAATAAAATAAATTGTAAGTTACTGCTGTTAATATATTTTTTGCCAGTTGTACAAAGGTTTGGGGGGGAGAATAGTGCAGTATTTCAGTCCATCTGAGAATGAGACGGGGGATATTTTTGGGGCTTTAGTCTGGTTATTTGCCTTTTTAATAGATATTTTTAAGATTTTAAAAAATGGCAAAAAAATTAAAGGACAAACTGATTTCAAACAACAGGCTTTGTATTTTTTTCCCCTCCACCCAAAGCAGTCATGATTGTATCTGTTTTTCTGAGTGAGGTAGATATTACTATTCTTGCTACTGCAAGTTTGTTTTTTTTTTTTTTTTTTTTTTATCCAAACATGTATGTACTTTTTCAAATGCTTTACTGTTAAATTTTTTTTGTTGTCTGAATTGTAATTTCTGCTGAAACTTTGTTGAAATGACTGTTAAAATGGGATTGATATACATACGTACTAAGAAAGGGAGATTTGATATCTTGTGTTTCTCCAGTTTTGCCACTTTGTGCAGTTGGGGTAACATGTACAGCGACGATGAATAATGGGCAGTCCTCGCCCCCCCCCCCCCCCCGTGAATGTGCGTTCTGTCCCATAGGCTGCAGAAACCAGAAGGGTCCTCTGTTACCAGTGTTTGGGACTCCTGCTGTTGAGCAATGTGACTGTGCGAGAGGGGGATGTAATAGGAGACAAACTCCATCTCTTTCAATCAGTCTTTGGCCCTTGAGTTCTAATGGGCCATGTTCTCCGCAACTCTGAAACGTACGGTTCTCCCTTGGAAGAATCTGGCAACTTCTCAGCTCTGTAATCCTTGCCGCGTTTGGGATTCAGTCTGTACTGTACAAAGTAAATATGTTTGTGGACTCAAGCGTTCTTTCTGTTATGGAATCATTCAGAAAGATGGACCTTAAGATGAGTGACACTTTTTTTTTTGGGTGTCCCTCATTTAATTTCAATGTTCATTTCCTTGAAACATGTAAATAGTAAATTTTGTTGCATTATGGGTGAGGGGAATGGATGTGACTAATTAGCACGTTTCGCCTTTCTGTCAGGGTTCTGGGGCGGCTTCCTGCAGTTGTGACCTCGGGTACATTGCTTGTACTGAGGCACAGACTGGCCCAAATGCTGGCTGGTCTCTAGGTGGTCTGCTGTGTGTCAGTTCGAAACTGACACCTTTAATGGCGGCTGGGCGGGGGGGGGGGGGCGGCTAATACACAACAATGTAAGCAGTGGCAATATGGGTTGAGACTTATTTTATTAAAAAAAATCTGTCTTTATATATAGATTTATTTAATTTTTTGAATAAAACTTGAAACTACAGATTTTTTTTTTTTTTTTTTTTAATTTAACTGAATATGTAATGGACTCCACGCCTGTTCCGGTCCCTTATGGGGCTACTGCATAAATTGTGGTTTGAAGATCTGGGTGCTGTTACATGCACATAAGGAGAGATGATATACACACACTGAATTACTGTACAGACTGGCATGGCAGCCTGACTTTTTTTTTTTCCCCCTTTCCTGAAGAAAGACGAACTTGCTGACTGGAAAAAGGACCTTAACTGAATATTTTCTTGTTTTCCAAGGTATGCTTTGGCCACGTCTTTGGCGGACATTTTGGTGCTTGCTGAAAGGAAGCAAAAAAGTGGAATTGTCGCTTTTTTTTTTTTTTTTTCTTAAATTATTTTGGTGGTCTTTTTTTTTGCCAACTATTTAATTGTACATTAAAGTATGTTTGTATCCCTGGGAAAAGTACCAATGAGTGAAAGTGTGGTGGTGGTTTGTTTTCTCACCTTAGACCTGTAGATCGACATTGTGGTGCTGTCATACAGACTATTTTCACCCCCTTATTCGGCCATCTTTTAATGGTGTACAGGTTAAGAGCTCACTTCAGTACTGCTTATCCACAGCGCTACACTATAATCACCCCCCTTTTTTGGGGGGGTCTATATTTTGTATATTTTGTGTGTGGTTTTTTTCTTCTTTTCTTTTTTTCTGCAGCTGTGTTACTCGTTGCTCCCCGAAAGCTTTATTATGTACCGGGGTGGTAATATGGTAAAATGCGATGTTCGCCGCGTCATTGAAACATTCATTTCCTTTTGCTGTAGGCAGAGGATGTAATGTGTTACAGGAGGCTTTGGTAGCTCAAGTTGAAAAGCAGAAAGTCCTCGTCCATGAGGTTAGAGAGACCACCAGCATGCTGGGAACCTTGGGGACCTGGTCCGGTGGCAAATTTACGTTACAAAAGCATTTAGGTGACGCTGCAGGTTTGCATCAGTTCAGATGTCTTAAATGTATGCTGTTTGACAATTTAGACAGCTCTGCAGTATTCAGTTTCATTATATTCCATTCATATTTGAATAGTGTCCTCCGTGAGATCATTGTTACCAGTGCTGGAGGGTTCGGCTGAAGGAAAAAAGGAGACCTGATATCGAAATATATGCATGGTGACCTGGGTCTCGGATTTGATTGTCCAGAGTATCTATGACTGAATAAGGTTTTTTGGAAAGTACTTATTCATGGTTTGAGTTAGTCACCTAGTTCTGGTTGCCCCATGGCTGTTCTGGTTTTTATTCCAGCAGAGTTTGGAATTGGGTAAATTGGAGGTTTCTCTAATTTAAAAGCAAATTTCAGTCGAATACTTGAATCCAGAAAATGTCTTTGGCTTATTTTTCCCAGCTATGTAACAGAGACTTGTATTAGGGGAGTCCATATTCATTTCCCACCCCTCTGGTGTGGATAGCCCACGAAAGACTGCAGAGCCTTCAGCAAGGGGCTTCGCTGCACTGATCTTACTTCATTTTTAGGTTTGCGTGTTTTCCATAGCAGAACAATGACCCCTCGGTTTCTGAATGACTATTGTCTTAAGAACCAGTGTGACCCACATTGCCGTCCTCTATTCTACAGAAGGGTAGGGGACTAGATTTTGTGAATCAGTGTGACGAATTGCACTCGTCACCTGTGGAACGGAAAGATGGCCATACAGAAAAGCGTTTGAGCAGATCCACAAAACATTTCTATCCATCCATCTTCCAGCCGCTCAATCTCATCCTGTTAATATTTGGTTACTCGATTTTTGTAATCGAGTAATGTGATTGCTGTTAGAGTGTTCATATTATTATTATCTTTTAAATATCAGCCATCCATTCTGCAAGTGCTTCAAGCAGTTGAAGAATTTTGAACTAAAGGCTATTATAAGTCCTGGGAATATTTTCTTCTTAGTTTTGTATTTTAGGGGATTTTTTTAATGAGAATCGATATTTACATGGCCCAGTGCAGCGTGCTGTAAAAAAAATGGTGCTGTCCTACGGATGAGACGTAAAAGTGAGGTTCTGATACAGGTCATTAAAAATCCCTGGACATCTTTCAATTCTAGCTGATGCCCAGGCTAAGCTTGCCCACTATGGCCATTTCAAATCTGGCATCCTAATCATCCCCTATCTAACTGGTGAATTCTTTCCTGCCCCTTCACCTCCTTAGCTACCGTGGGGTGAGCGTACTGGTGCAGAAAGGCTGCCGTCGCATCATGCAGATGGGTGCAGCACAGTGGTGGTGGTTGAAGTGGCTCCCCATTGCTTCTGTAAAGCACTTGGGGTGCCTTGAAAGGCGCTATATAAAAGTGCTATGTAAGTGATTCATTCGGTCATATAAACAGCCATTGAGTACACCTATCCAAGACCAAATTTCAACCAGCTTTATATTCAGAACTGCTGTTGGGGTAAGCATGTAGTGCACCCTCAAAAGTCATTCCACACACCATTGTTGTTCTGAGCTGTTATTTTTCCACTTGTGTCCTTCCAGTTAGCTTTAACGAGTTTGGTCATTCTCTGCTGACCTCTCAGTAACGAGGTGTTTCCGCCCACAGAACTGCTGCTAACTGGATGTTTCAGTTATCACACTATTCTCTGAAAACTGTAGAGATTAGTGTTAAAATCCCAGTATGGCTGCTGTTTCTGAGATACTGGAATCTATGTCTGGGGCCACATTCAAAACCATTCAGATCACACATCTTAGCAGATGTGGCTCAGCTTCTCAGGACGCTCTACCTTTAACCGGATGGTTGCCGGTTAAAATTCCATTGTTGGCAGAGTGATTTTAGCATTTAGGTCCCTGAACAAGGTCCTTAACCCCAATAATGCCTAGTCGAACAGTAACAGAATTACATTAACTTCTAATTCTGTTATGTATTATTTATAATACTGCTAGCTGATGAGGCTTCCCTGAACCTCATTGCACCTGAGCAGGTCAAATCTATCCTTGTAGAGATACGCTTCCCGGGCGTTCTCCTTTGCTCCACCTCCTGCGAGCCTTCACCGACATGACGTCAGGACATTCTTCAGGAAGACTCGCGTGGCCGCGTCTTTCGGAGGTCATCAAAACGCCAGCCCGAGCTTGACAGCTGTCATGTGACCAGCTCCAGCCAATCATACTGTTCGGGGAGGAGCGGGCTGCTCATGGTTAAAGGTCTGCGTCCCTTAAAACAGCTCCTGTTTTTATTGCCTTGGTAATTTAAAGGATAAATAGATGTCTGAGGGACTCTGAATGATATGGCGTGTGAAATACAAGTGAAAATGGTGATTCTGGGGATCCTTCGCTGATAGTGAAAAGGGAGAACATCGAGCATCGATTTTTTTCGAATCATCTTCAAGTTGTTCTATCTCAAAAGGCGAATTAAAACTCAGAACAGGTAAAGTATGTAAAATATTGGCCACATATTTATTTTTCAGACCAATAAAAAAAGCTGATATGTGTTTACGTATACAAAGACTGAGAAAGTGTAGTAGTAGCTTCACAATATACATTTTTTAAAAAACAAATTATGAGACAAGTTGTAAAGTGCAGTTTTACTCAATGGTGAACACAATGCAGCAGAAGCGAGCACGTACACCGGCTTCAAACGTGTGCACATCTCCTACTCATCATCGCCATAGCAACGGCATTGTCAACCAAAATCACGGAGTAAAAATAAAATCTGTACCCCCTTAGGAAACACACAAAAGTTTCTTTTATGTAAAATAAATACACTACATTCAGTTCGTACTGCGAAAATAACAAGCTATTTTTCTTCCTGAAAAATAAATGACACAAAACAGTTATCCCCTTACCTGCGTCCTACGCCAAAGCTTCTGTTCCCTTCAGTGCTTCACTTTCTACCTCAGAAGCTTGAGTACTTACCTCCTTCACCATACCTAGGGCCAAGTGGGGTCAAATGGAGGGGTAAAGAAAGGTGTGCACGACTGACACGTGACAGAGCACAAGGGCAGCATCACGCGGAGACCGTGCGTGTGAACTTATGCACTGGCGCGTCTTCAAGCACAATAAAAAAGGGTCTGCATCTACAAATTCTGGGAAGTGCAACAAATAATTCTATGCAGCCTGAATGATTTTGAAATACACTTCTTTTAAGCCAATTGAATTATATTTAACTACAAATCGTATTAAGGTGCCAGCAATGTGCTGAAGGTAGACAAAATGGGGGATTTGGGGTTTAAATACGATCATGAGTGATCTCCCAAAAGTATTATGCTGTTAATTTCACGATATCACATTTGCATATCTATAAGTTTGACCTCCATAATTATGTTCCCCGTTTTCAGATCGGTAACAGATATTGAATTTGGTCAAATATTCATCGCAGCCCGTAATTACAGAAACAGCCTCTGAATGCAGACTGCGTGAGTCAGCGGGACTCGTAATTGTCAGTTTGGGGAGGAGTGCAAGTCCCTTCTGTTGCTGCTGGACGGGTGGAATAGTGATGCACAGAAGATAGTCTCTCGTCAAAGCAGATGAAGACATAAAAAATCTGATATGACCATTTCTCACTATTCTGGATTAGCGTAAGTGTAGTTTTGGTATTTTTACGTACGAATGTCCAACAAGAAAACACATTTCGATTTCAACTTTCACAGCTTTCAGCGTCCATCTCTTAAAAGCTCAGTATGCTTCTTTTGTAAAAATTTGTCTTCATTTGGTTCCTGCTGTAAATTACTTTGTTAAAGCATTCACTTCGATCCGTTTAAGTGCAGACTGGCCTCCTATTAGTCAGACTTAAAAATCTGAACTGATTGTGATGTGGGGGAGCCCTCTAGTGGTGAATCAAAATTGTACAGTAGTGCCAAAGGGGACTAATCGGCCTGGGGAATTTGGCCAGCCAATCCAAAGTAGTTTTCCTGACCTGTCATGTGCCATAGTTACCGTAGGTTGTCCAATCAGTGTCTAGTTCTCCCACTTGGCTACATGGAGATCCACTATGAAAAAAATTAGTGGGGCTGTTTTCGGAGTTGGTGAAGAAGCGTGCTTAGCAGGAGTATCTGTACACAGTTACTGAACCGGAGATGATTTTGGGAGAATAACTGAAGGAGGGTGAGCGTATCTTTGTAGGCATAGAGCACAAGAGACAGTAGCCAAGGGGAAAGTGGCATTACCTACAGCTGCACTTGCAACAAGTTAATACGCACAGTGACAATGCCACACATGCAGCGTACAAAGGCTATCAGTATGCATGTATGTAAGCATTTTGGCATGCCTTCACACAGGTGCATGTGCGTCTCCTTGGGTGACAAGACAGAAAGGAGCAAACTGTCAGGAGAGGAAACAAAGCAGGAAACGAGTCACTCATGGACATGGGGCACGAGGGCAGAGGGAAGTCACGTTCTTGACCCTCTCCAGATCCTAACTTCCTCTGGACTTCCCCCCTATGCCCCACCCACAAACCCCCCCAGTCAGAACTCCAGCCCCCAGTCCCTAAAAAACCCC